TATATTGGAATTCCATCCACTGCTGATACAATGACAAAAATGTCGTTCTGAACTTCAATAGCAAGGTGTATTATTATAATTAATATATTTTATTTGGGAATTATTTATTTAGCGATCTCATAATGCGTAATAATGTGTATACCCTCTGTCAGATATCTTTATCACATTCACTGTCACCCTGTTATCGTAAACAAAATCTGAATAAGATTACACAGTGTTCCTGTCTAAAATGTGGAGTCCTTCTTTCACAATAGTTATGTTAGTCTGAAGAAAATATCGAGAATATCTCTATTATTTTTATCAATGTTTGGAAAAAACAGCTATCTCTCTCTCTCTCTCTCTCTCAGTTTACAAAATCTAATTATGTCTTAAATAAATATTAAAACATAAGAAGAAAAATTTTAAAGACGACTTTAGATAATTTTTCATTCGAATATCATCTGGCTCACAATCTATGAGCGCTCTTGTCAAGAGGCCACAAATACTTATGGAACTTTCGCACGTGCATTTTATTTATTTACGAAAGTATCACTAGAACAGTGGACTTATTATGATGCAGGGGATAACATGAGTGAGAGAACTGTATTCATCTGGGGCAGACGCTTGTCTAGCTGAATGTACGTGCAAGACAAAGGCTTCGTGTCCCTTCTCGAAAATTACCACGCCAATGTCGCACAACGCCTATAAATTATCCACGAGGCACGTGTGATATACTGGTTGGGTGCAGAAGTGCGCCAGGTGTAAGCACGGGTCACATTAGTATTTATTGCATATTTGTATTTCATACTGTACACAGAGTGTGCCAAGACTCCCGTATTTCTCCTGTTTCCTCTTATTAGTCAGGCAAAGGAAAGCTGAATTTCGGTTTTAAAATAGAAATATTTTCCAAAGTGTTCTTTATATACAGATGTTAATTTGATTGCAAATACTAAGGTATTTTTCTAAACAAAAATTACACCCCGATATACTGTACAGCCATAAAGCGCATTACAGTTCCATATTTTTCGTTAAATATACGTCACGTCGAAAAATACTATAGACGTGTCACCTAAAGTCCAGGATGAATGTTTTTCACTCCTGCTTACTGTTTGAGAAGCCTCTAATTCAAATGTCGATCCGGATAACGGCTATCCTGGCAAATACTTCGTGCTTTTCGCCAGTCATTCCAGTAAGATTATATTATATTACCTTAAATAGGCAGCGACCGATTTCTTCCATATATTTTCTATACATGATTCATTATTTATCCTATTATCCGACTCTGTATAGTATGACTCACTGACACAGTCGTTAAACACACCACGAATTAAAAAATAAATTATGCTTCGTTATACAGATTTTTCTCTCTCAACAACGTTCTTTTATTACCGTTGCAGAAATTTAAAAAAAATGTCTTGCTCCTTGTATATAAAATAGTGTTTGTTCCTGCAAGCTGCAGTAAGATTTTACCATGAATCATTTGTTTAATATAATAAAATATTAAATGGTACGTACAACGGGCAGAAAGACAATTCGACGAGACTACATGAACTGCAGTAATTTCAAGCAGCTCGCAAAGCACAAACTGTTATGTGGAAACACTGTTCCATTCGTGACGATCTAATTTTGCAATTACATAATTACGACAAGCAGAACGGGGTCCTGGGGGTGACGAGAGATTAAATAGCGAGGAGGGCAGAGAATGAAATTGTAGCAAATACAGTCATGTATAATTTGTGCAGTTTTGTGTGATCTCCATTGTTTTCTAAATGGATTTTAAATTGAATTTGTTAAAATGTCAGTAGTCAGTTCTACTAACTACCTCCATGAAGCAGTGTCAGTTTTGCTAATTAAAAATATTTTGTAAGGGAATTTGTACGTGAAAACAATTACTGACACTTGTTGCTGATAAGCTGATTGTTTACAAACAATAATGCAACAGAGAAAAATTAAGTAAGGCCCCATTAGAACTTGCCTCGTGATTTCGTCTGCTGTAAAAATGTGGCTTGTGTGAACAGTGTAACACTGGTTGCGTTTGCAGCCATATATCCTTTTGAAAGAACCTTAGATGCAGCTACTGTGGCTATTTTGGGTTACGTAGTAGCTTTATCGGTTCCAGAATTCTATTGTAGTATTTAAAAGCATCGGTTTGGTAAGCCCCCACTACTTTCAAAACGGGGATCTAAAATCACGTTATAGGAGAATATTTTGGTAAAAAAAATTATTTTATAGAACTTCATTGTGGTTTTGAATTAGACCTAGTTCGCTCGTCTGGAATAGGCACTTCTGCTGAACAGAGAAATGCTGTCGTGAATGATATAAAGTTAAAGCTCGTTAATTATGTATTATACACAGAATAAAAGAGCACGAGTAAGCTAGTTTTGTGCTGTGGTTTACCGCAGATCATTAACATGCAAGCTTTGTTGTGCTTTCCAAGCTGCAAATGTCATCGAGATGCTGACATGAGATAGACATAAGCAGCGTGAAGTGATAAAATGACAGTGTGAGTTCATTGCTATGACACGTGAATGCTCTCGTCCATTATAACAAAGGAACAAAGCTGATATAAAAACGTGTGGTGAAAATAAGCCTCACTCTGCATTATGATGTCAAACACCGGTATTAATAATTAAGTAACTCTGAATATAGGTGTCTTTCATTTTATAAAGAAAGATAAGCTTATGTATGGTATTTTCAAATCCGTTTCCTCCCTAAAAACATTAACCCAAACCACGGATTTCGATAATACTTAGTATGAACAACATACTACTAGACGCCACCTCAAATTCATTCTTTTCAATGTCCTAAGACCAATAATATCGGATCGGAGAAACGCAAACTTCTGAAGTAGAAAGGCCAACTGATATAGGATTCTAAAATTTGATGCCATAAAAGACCTTTGATATTTGTGTGTAATGCAAAACAACAGGTCAGCCGCCCGATATCTGTATTTATGTTTCTGTTTGCTCGTGATAAAGAATTAACAAGGAAAAGTCTGAAATTTGGAGCACTGAAAGTAGATCATAAACGTATATTAAATTATGCAGCCCTTTAAGCATTATCTGTGTGTAAGAAATTACAAAAATTTATGACGTAAACCCCCTTATATTATTCTTAAACTGCTTTGTCTGCTAACCGCCTTTACTGCGAAGTTTGTGTGAGAACAACTGCAATTTGATTCCATCTTTAGGATTTGGAAACAAATACAAACCGAAAATGTTAAACTTAAATTAGCGGTACAGCGTTATCGATGCCAGAGACAGGATTTTTTTGGTTTCGATTTCAGAACTATTTATGAAAAGATGAAAGATCTCTTTTGTGAATTTAACACCCAAGAAGAAAATTCAAATAAAAACTATGGTTAAGTAAATAAACATGCCACTTGAAAGTACTGAAAAAGATGTTTAAACAAAAAAGGGGTGACGTAACAAGAGGACGGAGAAAATGGCATAATGAGAATGTTTCATAACTTTTATTCTTCGCTAAATATTATTAGAATAATCAAATTAAGGGTAATGAGAGAAGCGAAACACGTAGTACGTAATGAATAGACGAGAAATACATACAAAATTTTAGTCGGAAAACGTGATGGGAAGAGACTATTTGGGGGACTAGGTCTGACTTATCTGACTTAAAATAGATCCCGTTGATCGGATCTTGTGAACAAGATGGAGAAGCTTCCAATTACATACGAGGCAGGTAATTTCTTTACTACCTCAGCGACTATTAACTTTTCTACCTGAGGTTTTATCATTTTACTCAGTCTCTCCAGGCCATGCTAAATAACCTCTGTTTCAGATACAGCGTGAAACGAAAAAAGTATAAAGAGTATTATAACAACACTGCATTAAAATCCGTTCAAGCAAATTGTTTGACAAAGGCCCGTTTTTCGCTAAAAGGTGTCGATTAATTTTCTGCTGCCTAAGATTATTGCTTTCACATTATTATTAGAGTAGACCATGTCGTTTCTCTGCCCGTTCCCATCGATCAATGCCTCGTAAAATATGCATCGAACAGTTTATATCCATAGTAATTTCAGCCTTTATTAACGAAACAAACGAATGCCAATAATAGTAACAGGGCTGTCCACTGCGGAAAAAATTATGGTAGCGACGTATGGAAATATGTGACTTACTAACTTTACGCTACAGTCTCGACCATGAAATTTGATGGGTATTTATTCTGTTAAAATGTCTCCTGCTTGTATAGAACCCAAGGGTTCGTTACTGTATGTTACTCACGACGACCTGCAATTATTGTCTCCTATCCTGAACCAGTTACACAGCCTTCATTAGAATCCAATAAAATATTGTTGCATTTTTCGTTGTACCAAAATAGGTAGATTTTTTAAAACAATCGTGAGTGAATTTGTATATTTGTTGTTATTTATTTGTAGGTGTTTTAACAATGCTGCATCAACTGCAAGGCGGTGTAGCGTCCAGTGATTTTATGTGCGTAAGTGGAAAAAATCAGGCTCTTCTTTGTATTTCGATGTACTTTTCCGTCAATCATCTCGAATTCGAATAAGTGAACTTTGTACTGCACCACTTAAAATGCCCGTAGATTCTGTAAAGTTTCTTCTAGCTGTTTGCCAATATGATATCAAAATTTCTTGTGATAAATAGTTTATTCTTACATCAGAACGGTAAGGCTGTAGAACCCGACGTTTCAACAGTGCTGACACAAAATCCCGTTTTTCCTTACAGAGCCAACTGTTATTCAATCCAGCCTCTTCTTGAAGCCCGTATGTGTGAATCACCTGCTTACTCTGGGGTCCTTCGTCCCGCACAGAAACACTGCAGATAGACTGCCCCACGTTGTTCTAGCCGAGCAGTTATGGCTACGACTTATGTCACTAATTCCTGCAACTGGTTGTGACAGTTTATTAGTGTGGTTTATCTCAAATACACCCGATCCGTATTCTACGTCGCACGCACACCTCACGGTTCACCGCGCAGACCTCGTTTGGTCAGGTGGACATATTAAACTCAAAAGTTCTGACAGTCAGGAAAAGATATCTTGTGGCAATGGATAATAGTTCGTTACAACAAGTGGAATGAAGTGGGTGCCTTAGACAGTGATGTTGCAGTGTTATGAGTGTTATAGATTACTGGATTAAAACACAAAGTCAGTCGAAAGTGCACTTAAAAATTAAACTCTTAACTCAAAGAAAATAAAATTCGTTTTCATCACAAGGATTATTTGGTTATTTACGTTGAGGAAAATGTTAGTTGTTAATTCCGATAATCAATGAAACCCACACAAACATTCTGTGGACAAAGATAAGACTTATTGAATGTCTGAGCACGAAGTACGGCATTTAACACTCGTATTATAGAGAAGTATCAGAGAAAGCCATCATTAGCGGAGACTTTCGAAAATTTGAGGATAATATTAAAACTGATCTTACTGAAATAAATCATGGCTGTATAAACTGGATTTATCTGGTTTGAGACAGAGATTAATGGTAAGTTTTTAACACGTAAACGGATCTTAGGGAGGCATGGAATTTCTTGAACAGCTGAATAATTATCAATAGCCCACCGAAGAACGTTATTAGATGCTTGATTAGTTTAATTAGACGTGTTTGGTTATTGGCTGTTGTCAGATTTAGTTGTAGGGCTATTTTAGTAAAAATGAGTAGTATTTATTATTAAACACATGAAATTTCAGCTACACTTATCAATCGTGTATTTGAATTTTCAAGATTAAGAAAAGAAAGTTTCTTCGTATGTTGTGATTCATAAGAATCTGTTGAAATGCAAACGATGTAGTCTACACACGTGAATACAATTACGAGTAAAACAGAAATATGTGTGTAAAATACGTAATATAATTAGAATAAATTCTGTTACTTTACAAACTGTTCATTTATTTTATTTGTGAAATGTGTTACTTTTCTTCAGATACACAAAATACTACTGTCTAAGAAATCAGTCTGTGACACACAAGATACGTTCAGATATCTGTTTTCACACAAACATTCAACAAACTGAAATATGAAAGCCAATGATGAGGGGTGTATTAACGGCAATAGTAATACTGCTACATTCAACTTGTGTTCCACAAGAATCATCTAGTGTCCAGGCCCAAATATCTGCACACACTTGGCTCTCAACTTCGGCTCATGTGGTAGCTGCTATTCAGAAACGTCTTCACCTCCAATGTGTGTACGTAGTCCACAACAGGGCAGTCGACTTCGGTAAGTTCATGTGTACCTTTCTGGAGATTACAGAGAATAAATTGAAAGGCATATCTGCACTCACAGAAATGTATCCTGAATCCTAAATTTTTATAGTAGAGTGGAATCCAGATATTTAAATATTTCAACGAAAGACTAGATTCAAAAAATTTTTTTAACGAAGTAACATGTTCGGTTCATTGAAAATTTGATGCCGTACTCCCTTCTAGATGAACAGCGAATGACGTCACAATTTTGGAAATTGCTGTCACTGCACGGGAGACAGGTGGCATTTTCTGGTCCCAGTGGACTAGGTCGCACATCCGTTTGCGGTCGGAGTCCCAATCTATACGCCATCATCGCAGCAGACGAGAGCAGAAGCCACTGCATACAAGAGGTACACTCACCCCCAGCTAACTTCACCAAGTTATGGAAACATTTCAGCTGTTACTTTAAATGCAAACAACATATGTGTCAGATAGATGGTTTTATACGAAATCATTGGAAAACGATAACAAATACAGAGTGTAGACTATGAACCCCGAGCGAAATTGCACTTCAACCCGCTAGGTACATTTATCATAATGAAAGAATCTGGGAACACAGTGTAATAATGTATATGGCAAGATTTGCAGTTTACGCTATCCACAGATTTTATGCATTCAAAAAATGTGCGCTACTGTAAGCATTTATACATAATTTTGTGTTGGGTGGTCTGTCTGTCTGCCCGTCCGCATGTTATAGTCCTAATTCCGAAATTTGTGATGTAATTTCATGTTCAAGTCGGTAGTCACTGATAAAAGGTGCACTCTCCTTTCCCAGTTTGCACAGAAACGTTACCTCTCACAAGGCATTTGGCTTCTGTTCCTCAACACGACAACGAAAGAAGCGTTCGAAGACTCGAACGTGCCGTTCAACAGCCTTGTAGTGGTGGCAACACAGACCAGACAAAGGATGGTAATTCTCGAAGAAGTTTACCGAGTATCTCCACATCTGCCTCTTGTGACCCGGCGAATAGGCACGTGGAACAGTACGACGGGTGAGCTGTCCTGGACCAGACAAGTAGACAGCAGGAGTCATCTCCATGGTCTGACCATCAAGGCTGCCGCAAATCACGTAAGTTGGCTGAGATTTCCGCTGTGTTTACGGATGTTGGGGAATGGACATAAAACCTCCTCCGAGTAACATGTCAATTAGTTATTAGATTCACTGTTACTAGGGCCATCAAATCAAGGAAGATGAAAAAGGGCGAGGCATGTAGCACTCATGGCAGAGACGATAAATGCATACAAAATTGTATTAGGAAACCCTGAAGGGGAGAGTGTGAGAGACCATTTGTAAGAACTATGAGTTGGTCGGAAAATAACATGTAAACGAATGGTGATGAAATATGTGAGTGTGTAGACGGGATTTGTCTGGTCCAAGACAACACTGTAAAGAACTATTGCGTCACATAAAATGTGGGGAATTTCTCGTCCAACTGAGTGAGCATTAACTTACCATCAATGACTTCCCTAATTGAGTTAGTTTCTTCCTTAGCCTTTGAAGCATAGCTTACGGTACATTTCTCATCACATAGAGCGATCCATTATCTGTGAAAAGTTTCCGCTAGTTCAGATTATGACTACGTTGCATTCTCTCGGTATTAACTCACTCTATCACCGTGTTTGAAATCATTGACACATAAAATATTGTTTAATACAGAAGCAGCAAATATGTTCATGATCCATCTCCATACCAAATTTCACGCACCTGTCTCCACTTGTTCATTTGTTATCGTCATCAAACCGAAAGTTAAATATAGATTCCGCGTCAGTTCGATACCAGCAATAAAATTAAAAACAAAAATATCCATCAGTATACTATAATGACAACCATTCATCTGAACGTGGGACTAGAGTCACATTTCTAAAATTTGTGTAGGCCTTTTTCCACTTTAGACATTTGACAGTGCCCAAAGTGATTATCTGGAATTTTATGCATGTCAAAATCCTTTGGGAAAATCATACTTTCTAGTGTGCGCACTTCTATTTTGAACCAAATGTCTACAAAATTTATATCAGTTGAAACAACAGCATTATAGGCTTGCATTGTTTTTTCTATGTCAGAAAGTGGTTTAGTTTAACCATTTTAAGGCCCTATGATAATTGTATTCAGCATCTAATTTAATAATAAATAATTCTGCATCTTTTTACCGATAGGCTTCATATACGCCTTGTTGTAAACAGAGATAATTTCTTTAAACAGTATTAACTATTTCGTCTTTGTAATAGAGATTTGTTGTGTGTATGCGTGCGTGTTCTTTGCTTTTGAGGTTCGGTCTGAAATCAAATATTATTTAGGTAAACCTTGCTTCAGATGGTTAAGAAGCTACGCGGGGCCTACCATATCAGGATATAATATATTCAGATATGTTCGTGCAGATGTTTTAACAAAATTTCCATGCCTCGCCCTTACCTAATTGACCTTAAACATAAATTTTGCGAAGCCACTGCATCAGTTTTATAATAAAATGTCTCAAAAAGTTTTGAAGGTCTCCTTCATCACTTGGAACTTGTATATTGAGAACATGTGATTTGGGGGAAGGATTTTCCAACTAATTAAACTGTTAATAATATAATTTTTGTAGAATTGTTAATTTTCTAACATGTTGTCAAAGTGCCTGTTTCACTTATAACAGTTATAAACATTAAATTCCTTCATAACACGAATGGTCATATTGTGTTTTATATACAGAATAATTTTCTTTCTGTAAGCTAGTGTAACTCTTTGTATTTTTTCACTTTGACATTATTTCTAGAATCCGCCTTTCACTGTAGTAGAGTTGAATAACAACCGAGCGCAACTTACGAATGGATTCTTTGGTAAAGTATGGAAAATACTAGAAAAGAGAATAGGATTCAGGTAAGTACAATTACATTCCACGGTTTTTTTTCAACTGTTTGTGTCTTCTAGATAAAATATTCTATAATGGTCAGGCTCAGATATTAAATCCTAACATTTTACAGTTACGTAAAACTTATTATTTTTTTTTTAGTTTGATTAATTTCTGTGACGTATCCTTAGGTTTTCTTAATTTAAGAAAAAGTGTTTCCTGAGTAATACACTGAATATCAAAATGCTTCATTTACAATGTTATATCCCTAAATTAGACCGTTTTCATTTACTGCACACTGAGTCTACACTTTTCGAAACTAAAGCACAGTACGCATATTGGTAGCAGGCGTCAAAAATGATATTAGTGAAAAAGTTATTGAATAGTAGAGATATTACATCGAGTACTGGCGTTAATTATTTACTTTCTATTTCGTTAAACACAAAACACTGAAAAATTAATGTAAATATTTTATGACACATCCATTCTGAGCTATTTGATTAATTGTCATTTAAAATTTATTAAGTACGGGTTATGACTGACAGACACGAATCAGAATAAAATTCGCCGAAATCTGTTTCCTATAGACCACAATTTCAATTGTAATCTGAGGTCCGTTTGTAAATTAAACATGTGATAGACGCGACTACACCTTCCATTTATTTCGTGCAGAAAACAAATAACAGGGAACTGTGGGTCAGATATTGCGTGTTTTTATTTCATTATAAACTTAACAGCTTCACATAAAACTTACAGCAGATAAAATCTCTGTGTAGGAGAGGCTATGAATTCTGACCAGACAGGCCTGTCGCCCAGTACTCTGTAAACAAGAACACCTACAACAATATAAGTTTAAGCAAAAGTTCTCAGTGCAAATGTCGGTTTCAAGACTTGTCATATTCAGCAAAAACTTCACCGCAAGCCCGCATCTTAAAAATGTGTATATGTGAAGTTCGAATCCAAGATCACGCTGTACGTCTTACGTACCATTTTTGTTCACTGCCATCCGATTATCGACATAAAAGATGGAACCACTGCTGCCTCTATGTGTCTTCCCATTTGAATTTAAATTTGTGTCTTCGCCTATGTGAGTTGATAGAAATAATAGCATGGGTCAAAGACCATTGACCATAGCAATAACAGATTCTGAACAGATAAAACTGCACTTCATAAAGCCCCAAAATTGAATGTTCGTATCGATTCAGCCTGTTATGAAACTCGAAGGTTCATTGCCGTCTTTATAAAAGCCCGCCACCAGTCCCTATTCTGGGCCAGATGAATCCAGTCCACATACTTGCGTCCTACTCCTTTGAGATCCATGTCGGCATTCAGTACTCATTTCTAGTCTCCTCATGCGTGCTACATGGCCGGCTCTTCTACTTCTTGTTGATTCGATGGCCCTAATCCCCTTCATATTTGGCAAAAAAAAGTTATGAATCCCAAATTATGAGTTCTCTAAATGAAATCTGGGATTCTCGCGGCGGTGAAAATGTTTATGCTGGTTTCGTAAGTGACTGTGGACTTGTAGGAAGATATCTCTTAAGCCTTGAATATGGAAACAGGATTTCCCTCCGAAACGTAACAGGGCAGAAGACCAACACTGATATGAATCTCCTCATTATGCAGTTTTCGCGATCCCTATATTGTTTCATATCTCATAGGGCCACATATTCTTCTAATCAGCCCCTTCTCAGACACTTTCAATCTGTGTTATTCCCTTACGGAAAGAGAACAAGATTACATCAATACGAAACAACAGGTAAAACTAGTTTAATCTGCTTTGCAAATGACACTTTTGTATGGAGGACAAGAAGATGAAATAATCGTCCTACGTCATAGTAGGCATTTCCTGAATTTAATCTACTTGTAACTTCCCCTCCTGTCTGTTACTCCCAAATATTTGAACTTTGCTACATTTTCGAAGGATTTTTAACTAAGTTCGTATTTTTTTTATTCTGGCCACAATGCATGAACTTGTGTATAGTTGTCTCTGCGTTCGCTTCTATACCAACCTACATTTTAATAATTTGTTACTGTACTCATGCTTTCGCCCAATCCCAGAACATAATATTGCAAACCCTTCTTTATTAGTTTTAATGAATTATGGGAAGCAGACTTTCGACTTTCAGTAGCAATTTCGTCTGCAAAAGAATTGGGCTCTAGTGTTATAATTGTATACTTCAGTATTTCCAACATCATTAGCATTTAATAGCAGACGAAAATAACCGATTCACCCATTCAAAATGCTGTTCGAACTTCCAACTAATTTACCGTCTTCATCTTTTAATGTCATTCTTGGTTGGCAGCCATCTTAAATGTATTTACACATTTAAGCAAGCCATATTTTCTAACCTGACTGACCTCAGTATCTCTTTTAAATACTTTACGTTATTTCACATATTACATTTTGTGTTCCGCTCAACAATTACTTACAAAAGGCCCCCTTCATATGTTGCCAATTGTTTCATTAGCACCGACTGGTTCACACCCCACAACACGACATGGAACGAAACCACAGCGAACGGAACGGAACTTCTACAGCTGATTTCTCGGAAACAAGTTGATATGGTGGTCTCTGACGTCACAATTACTCCATCCAGCGCAGATGTCGTCACCTTTACTGTTCCGTTATTAACGTACAGGTAATTTATGACAATACAGAGAAATCCCGAGGGGCGACAAAATATTGTTATATGCAACTGCATTACGTTCACAGCGTTAGTGGGACGGATTCACACGGGGGCGTGACAAGTGTGAAGCCTTGTTCACAATGAGATCATGTTTCTGCTTGCCTTTGTGTTGTAAAAATTTCGGATGTCCCGTTAACAGTTCCTTCAATAACTTCCACTTCTGGCAACGGACAAGTGTTCCAAATTTTGTCACTACCTTGCATGATCTGTCTTCATAATCATCGTAAATAAATTAGGCTACAGTATCAAATGAAACGCTTTTTACGAGCAATCTCATTCGATATGGTGCATTTTTGAGTTTCAAAAGCTTAGACTCGAGAGGTGTAAACGTATTTTAAATTCTCTTTAATTCATAACTATTATTTAACATTTTTGTCAGAATGTTCTTGCCCTCTCTTTCACTGTTTCTCTGCAAAACTGTAATACTATTGCTATATGTTCTAATTATATTAATACATTTCAGATATTATCCGCGTCATTTAACTTGGCATCTGTTAGAGTCGAGAGTATGAAACGCTGTGCGCATGCTCTGATCGATACTGTAGTTAAAAATAAAATTTCGCCGCTGTATTGGATGTTTTTGACGATCGAATACCCGCATCTCTGTCCCGTTGCAAAAACCAAGATTCGAATCATTACTGTGCAGTGCAGACGCCAAACAAACTGAGCAGACATTTTTATTCTTACCTGGTCTAAACAGAAAGTCCGAAGACATAAAACTAATGACATTTACGGAAATGTGACAGTTCACTGTAGCGACAAGTGTCCGAGCCCTAGAAAAGTTACGAATTGGTGGAAAGATTCAAAGGGGAGGCGGAGTGTTGATTCCGTCGTCACTTTGACGTGCTTTTGGGTCAAATGTCATGACGAATCAGCAATGACGAAAATACGTCTGGAATGAGCATCAGTTATGGAAATAAAAGTTGCAGGAATTGTTTAATGCAGGGGTTCTCAACCTTTTTCGCTGGCGTACCACTAACTCTAATTTAACACATTAAATGTACAACTAACCAAATGCGTTCAGGAAAAACTTATTTATGCTAATATTATCTTTTGATTTTATTACTTAGTTCGCGTACCATAGGTTGAGAAACACTGGTTTAAGGAATAACCGAAAACGGTTAATTCTGATTTAATTAGGAAACTTCTCTAAAGTCGTACCAAATGCATGTCAAAGTAAGGCAATTACGTAAAAAAGAAGGCGTCTCTAAGTACTGCGTAATTATCGCGTTTGAACGTATAATAAAATCTCCATTTTAAAATACTTATTTTATATACAGAGGTAGATTCATAATAACATTTCGGTCTGATTGAATGCGTTTTGTAAGTTAATACTTTCGTAACTAATCCAACTTCAGTTTTTAGGAACCACAACACAAGCATCCCACACAGCAAGTGCATTTTGTCTAGGTTTTCTGTTTTCATCCGACTACCGGACAGCGAAGACTCGGACTGGAGCATGTACCTAGAACCTTTCAGGAAGAGTCTGTGGCTTACTGTACTGGGTGCGATTCCCATATTCGCCATCTTCCTCTCAATTTCCCAGTATTGTGGGCGTGTACTGCGAAAAGAGGAGAGTAATGGCAGAGACGCACAATTCAGCTTCTGTAACTCTGTGTTCTATATGTTCGGTGCATTATGCCAGCAAGGTAAGATCCATAATTTTGTAACTAACTATACGATATGTGGTCTCTTCTGAAGACATTATAATGGCCCAGGTAGCGGGAAAGCTTTGCCGATTTCACGGAATCCGTCGCCACGTTCCAAAAACCACTGGAACCTGCTCTAAAGATAGTCTAGTTAATAGGACAGCTGGTTAAAAAAATCTGTTAATCAGTCACTTACTTTCCTGAGCAGCTAGCAGTAAGTTGATTCTGTATGCGTCCTTGCAGGGACCGACGTGACGCCAAAGGAGACCTCAGGCCGCATGGTCTACAGTCTCTTCTTCCTCAGCACCTCGGTTGTCCTTGCCGCGTACTCGGGGCTCCTCGTCTCCTTCATCACAAACAAATATGGAGCACTTCCATTCAGTGATCTGGACGGACTCCTTCGTTCTGGAATATATTCATTCGGCGTTTTAAACAACTCAATACCTTTCACTTACTTTTCGGTAAGACATTATTATAATACAATACCAGTACTGATTGGTTCTTGAGTACACTACACTGTCTTAACTTAAGATGTTACGAGAATATCCTCGAATTAGATGGGGAAATAATCACGATCAGGATTATCAGTTCGTCCCTCTTTGGCTCAAATACCCTCAAACTATGCTCTTCCGCCAGACTGGGAGGCAAATTTCACGCCAATCAAACGAGACTTTAAATCTTCACGTTTTTAGATACGTGACTGGAAGCCAAAATAATTTTAACTTTCTCGAATTTGATCTATTTTAATTTGACTTTTTAATATCCCCTTCATATAAATGAAATTTTAAACATTTTTTGAGGCATTGATAGCTATGATCATTGTAATTTTTACATCTTGTTGACGAGACATGAACATTTTCTCTGTATTTTCTGTTTAACGTTTCGTGCTACATTATTTGTTATGGTGAAAAGTTATCACTTCGCCCAACTTCCATGCTGGAGGACCACTCCTTATCAGCTGTCCGTAACCCCTTATTAGATATTTTGATAACAACAATGGTGATACTATCGCTATTTTGTTAAAGTAATCATTAGTCTGTATCTATGAATACGCTGGAAAATTCTTCACTGGTGAGAGGAAGGAGAATACGAACCCCGTATACCTGACATGTCATCAGCCAGAATCAGTACAGAAATACCCTAGATAAACTACACAACAATACGAACAAGTTAATGTGCGTCTTATAGCCTTTAATTTCTCGGACCACAGGGTGCCAAACCAAATACTACATTACATCGGATTTATTCCGAAATTATGACAAAAGACCCGAAGAATTTTCCCAAGACAGATGAGGATGGTTTTCAGCGAATCTGCAATGAAAAGTATGCTTATATGGCGCCTACAGAGTATGTTGTATCAGTCATAGAGGCAGCGAACTGTGATGTGGTTCCTCTACCAAGACAGTACTTTGAGAAGATACTCGCCATTGCACTTCCTAGCGACAGTGAATACAAGAACCTCATCAACCATAAGTAAGTCCCAGCAGTGTCAGGCTGCCCTACGTCAACATTCACTAACGCCATTTATTGGTTTTGTATGATCATATGATTGTTAAGGGGTTTGAGGCGTGGGCCTTCTACCGCTTGGTCGCTGGGAACGTGGGTTCGAATCCCACTCAAGCCATGGATGTTGTGTCGTGCCTTCCTGTGTACAGGTAGAGGCCTTGCGATGGGCCGATCCCTCGTCCAAGGAGTCCTACCGAATATCTATAGATCAAGCCAACGAAAAGTTGGGACCCGCAGTGCTCAGGCACTTGGAGAACGGGTCGTTCCCAGTATCACAATGTATGATTGTTAAAATAAATAGTGATTATTTCCTTAAACGACACTGACAAGTTGGTTCTTGTGGTGGAAATACGTTGTAAGGTGCCCGATTTTTTTTTAATTTGGCCAGCATGAGTTAGAATGTTGCCATCCACTCTCTACACATAGTAACTCTAGGTTTGAAGGCGTTCCTTTCAGTAATTACCAGTTTATAAAAAGTTACACTTTTACGAGGTGAGATGTCCAACCTTCCTCCTTTACCTGGGCTTGGGAATAAACAACTCAGACCTAGATGGAGTGGCCATAGAACTATTACGAGATAAAATTTAAGCAAGGAGTTATAAATCGTTAGACTGAAAGACTGGTAAAATATTAAGTTTCAAAATGAATATTGTGAAAAAGCATAGTATGTAACAAACAGTCTATTAAAAATTTCAAGATAACAAATAAACAGCTGGTGGCAAGGCTTGACTAAACGTTTCGCTATAAACATTCGAAATATCCTGGCACGTCCAGTGAACTAACCAACTAGCGCCTAATTCTTACGCGTTTCCTTTCAGCTTAAGGGCTATGACGAACACAGGAGTGCTGAAGAAGCTTAAGGAGGACACGTGGACGCTGTCTTCACCGAAACCCAAGCCACACTGGAACAGTGTTGGAATTAAGCATATTGCGCCCCTCCTTGCTGTCCTCTTGGTTGGCATTGTGACAGCCTCCGTCCTACTCGTCTTTGAACTTTCAGGAGTTCCCGTCATAAAGAAGTCCTTACTCCCATGTTTCGAGAGACGTCTCAGGAGACAAACAAGTAGAGAATTTTGGTATCTAAAGTCTGGTTAATATAATCATAACCTACTCATCTAAACATTATTTGTTGGTATCCTAAGCATGAAAACCTTTCCTGTGGCTACAAATAAAGAGTTTTATTTATTCCCTGATTCATGCTTTAGAAGATTTACTAATGATGACTAATACTTAGGCTGTGATTCATAACTAATTCATATACTGTCATCATTCTACTTTTTTGTTATGTAACAATGCTGTTACAACTGCATAGGTTATATAGCATTGAATAACAGGACGCTTGAGAATCGGTTGCGGCCTATTTTAAGGCATTATACTAGAATACTGATATTTGAATCTGGAACCTCTCAAATATGATCAGGAGTTCCAACCACCACATGGTTTCAATATGTACATTTTCACTTTGATTGACAAAGATTATTTTCTTAAAATAATTAAAGTTGTACTTAAATGATGAAGCAGGTCTACATACACTTCTTAAAGTATCATGCAGACAACCTCATTTCTTTACTTTATAGTCTGTTAGGAAGAAACCATGCAAAACAATGGCTAAATTTACCATGAATGGAGAATAGCTTTAGCAACGTTTAACATTAGCTAGTGTTAGTGATAACTTGTAAAATATCAAGGTCGCCCAGAAATCGGACACATTCTTACCCTTGATTATAGCAATAAAATGGCACAACGTTTGGTACGTGGAACGTCAGAAGATTGTCTGAACTCCTACAGTACTCCTAACACGTCTGCTAGAAAGTTTGTCAGGTTAGGTAAGGTTAAGAGTGATAGAATGCACCTCCAGTAGGTCACTTTCTGAGAATATTAACTCAATTTAACATCAGGATAATTTGTTACTGCCAATGCTTTTAAATGTCTGTTGCGCAAAAAGCAAAGAAATCGAATATCAGTTACTAGTTCTCTTGCTAAAAGTTAACAAAAACATACCTGTGCACCAAATCAAGTAGTACGCCACTAATGCGAAATACGTAGATCCACGTGTACCTATGTCACTTCTCTGTTCCTTGCAATATCTTCTATGGACACATTCTTCAAAATTATTAATACTACCATTACAGAAAAACCAGAATCCCATAACTTTTAATAATGGCATTAAAACCTTTCAGAAATTTACCATTAAAATGCACGCACTTGCTCACTACATGACTAACATATCAAACTTCCTCTTGGTTGCATCCCCAGATTTTCCTGCCATCTGCACGTTGCGCATTACATTCTATAAATCCAATTCCGGCTTCGGTGGCTTTATCAATAACTACGTAATCTTCTTACACACCATGACCAAAGCAAAGAATTTAAATAACCAATACTGACATGCTGTGGTTGTTACGTTCCCTCGGTTTTTATATGTACACACTTTTTATTCTTTGCATTCACTTACATGGAATCTTAGCTGAATTTCGTGTGTACCTTTATGCTAAAGTAAAGTGACCCACTTCCCTACCAAGCCAAGCAGAGTAGGTGGAAGTATAGCTCCACACATTATCCTGAGTACCAAAGGATGGCAATGAGGCATCGTAGCAGACCTTGACACAACAATACTTTGCTATACTATGCTGCAAAATCCAATATGGACACAAAACCACAGCTGGTAAAGTTAATGTTTCACAACTAAAGATTTCTTATTTTTGAGAATGGGGTTTGATCTGCATTAAGTGTACACAAAAGCTAATAGGATAAACAACATTGCAAAGAGGACATTTAAAAAATGCATTCTACTGGAGCACACATTTCCACTATTACCGATTCTTCTTCTTCTTCTTCTTCTTGTAGCGTTATAACATTATGTGGGTCTTAGCTTGTTTGACGAGTTTTTTCCATTCTGATTAAAGGACAATAAATTCTATACCCACTGTAGCTAAACCTGTGACATTTTAGAAAAAAGTCACACGTAAAACATTATTTGGTATATGTGTGGTGTTTTGAGCAAGGCAATAGTTCAAATCTGATCACAAGGTAAAATAAATAAAGGGTTGAAGTACTATATTAAGTTTTTACACTGTCATATTACACAGTTTTACAGTATTATGAATGCAATGTTACATAAATTATGTAATAGTGCAGTAATAAGCATTCTGTACCATACAATGAAATGCAAAGCATTATTATAAACAACATAAACACACCCTAATTCTTATAAAATACAAACAATTTTTCACCTTTCAATACAAAAAAAGTACATTTTCATACCAGTTCTTAGCTGAGCTAGTCAAATTCCAATTCAGTTCATCTTAGGAGGTGGTGGAGGAACAGGAAGATTCCCTAACTTGGGCGGAGGGGGTGGTACGGGGTTAAACAAAGGTGGTGGGGGTGGCATACCAGGTGGGAGTAGCGGTCTTGGTGGAGGCGGCGGATGAACCAAAGGAGGAGGAGGCATGGGAGGTGGTGGAAGATTTGGGGGTGGTCCAGGGGGTCTTAGAGGTGGTGTAGGGGGAGGTGGAGGTTTAGCTTGTGGCTGCTGTTTTGGATCATTCTTGAAAGCAAACTGAAGAAAAAATTGCTTTGTGTCTTTGTTCCAATGAGTCCAAAATTTTCCTTCTGTTTTCTCCACCTCACGACTTGGTACCTAAACAACAGATTTATTTGATTAGAGAATACTGGCGACAAGTTAAAAAGAATTTTTCTGCATACAACACACAAAGTTACTGTTTTAGTTACAAAGCAAAATAAGAAATGAAAGCCAATTTTATTATTCGTTTTGACAAAATAATCACAAATCACATATATGATTTACCAATGTGACTTAACCTGCATTTCAATACATTTCTTCCAGCCATCTACAAGTTTAACGATTTCATCAATTTCAATTCGCCCTTAAATTACTTTTACACTGCTTCGTTCTAACTTTCTTAAGACTAATACTACCGCCACGGTGGTCTAGCGGTTAGAACGCTGGGCTTGTAATACTAATACTGGGGTCCCGGGTTCAATTCCCGGCGTTGCTCAGATTTATTACAAGTTGTGGTGGGCAAGGCCATAGTCTAGGCATCACGGAGTTTTCCTCCGGGGTGTGTACTGGATACGGGGGAAAGAAAGAAAGAAATAGAGAGAGAGAGAGAGAGAGAGAGAGAGAGAGACCAATGCTCATTTCACAAACAATTCAATCAATGTTGACTGTCCTCCCAATTCTAATATAACGGTTCACCTAATCATGCTGGGGCTTCAGAAAATTCTTTGTAAAATATTATTAAAGTGATAAAATCAAGGATGAGATGGGTGGGATATGCGACACACACGGCGCAAGATAAATGCACACAAAAATCTTAGTTCTGTGTTTAATAAAGGATGTGGGGGCAACAGATAATTCTTAACACATCATACAACTAGAATTTCAGTTCAGAAGTCAAACGCAAGATAAAATTCTTACCTTGAATGCGATGGTCTCATAAGGTTCTGCAGCAAACAGCAAATACTGCCATTTCCTGTCAGGAGGTTCAACCTTTTGCTCATACGCGGACATGAAACGATGTCGGGGAGATATTCCATCAGCTATTTCTGCAGAAAAAAGAAAAGAATAAATAACAAGGTAGCAAGAATGACTACAGAAGATTTATAAAAAGAAAGAATCTAATTAAATCTTGTTACAGTTCCACAAACTGAGTCTGTCTGAATCAGTTGCTGCAATTATATAGTACTAAATGAGATCTGAATTATGAATGTAAGGGGATTGTTTTTTGTTAGCAAATAATTACCGAGTCACAAACAGTGGTATTCATTTATATTCTGATATACTGGAACAGGAATTAAAATCCAAGTGAGCACGAGACAACAAATTTCACATAGCTTGATGAAAATTATGTTATGAAGATTAAGATCTGAGATTCTAAAAATTGCCTGGTGATTTCATGACTGGAGTTATTTTTTGCCAGAAACCTATTATATCAGCAAAATATAGTAAAAATACATTAATATATGAATTAAGAGTATAAACAAAATATATAAGCTGTCTTCTGTTGAAAACAAACCATGTGTTGAACCTCCCAGTTTATTGGCAAGTTCAGGGAGACAGGATAAAGCACAAAGCCTTGTATAAATCATGCAAACAAGTCTCTGAACACAAAGCTTTGAGAAGTGCATACAAATTATGCACAATACAGTCATTACTTACCGGGATAATCGATCTGGAAAAGCAAACTTTGTTGACCACTTTCAGGCTCACGTTGCTTCGTGACTCTGTATCCTGGGCGACCAATCTTAACAAATTTCTTAGGTTCAACTCTGGGCTTTTCTGGTGCAGGCTGTAAAGAAAAGTCCAATACATCACATAAAATGCCATGTGATATTTCTTAATGTTTTCACATTTCATTATTGCATTCTTCATATCCATTGATTTGACCCTTTTAACAAATTATAAGTATTAATTATGAAATTGTATCCGGCTTTTCATTTACCTGCTGAGGTGATTCCTTTGCTTCCTTAGCTGCTCTACGAGCTAGGTTGGCTTGGTGTTTCTTGCCTTGCGTATGGGCCAAATAGCTTCCCTCATTGTTATGAAGCGTAAGACAAAGTTTACATTCATATGAGCCTAAAACAGACAAGAATATAATCTTTTCAAAACACACAACAAAAGTAGCATTACATCATCTTACAAAACCACTGATATTAATGTTTTGTCAAGATTAAAATTAAAATCGGTGCTTGCTGCAACACTGCGCAGATAACTGCTTTGATCTTTCTCACTTTGACTGTGACTATTACTGAATCAGAAGAAATTCATAGCAGAATGAGAAGCAATGATAAACTCTAGTTACCTTGAACTTGCACGCAATTTTAAAACTTGCTGGTACTTAAAAGGAATACATGCTTCCTTAGCAATATAAACATGCAGCCTCAACTGTATAAGTTATATAGTTTGAATGAGTTAAGAAGACTAACATCAAAAATAAGTAAACAAGACATGGAAAGACATTATGAAACTGGAAATAAGCAAGTGAAACAATGGCATTTTTCAGTCAGAAAGAAGAGTACCCTAACCAAGATTTAAAATGGGTATATCCTGAATACACATCTAGTGTTAACTGCTTAAAAGTAATAAATGTGATTAAAACTCATCTTTAAAATACTAGACAATTTCTTTAGGGAATCAGTCACAATTTGAAAACATTAGAATTATTTCTTTCTGTACTCTCACACCAGAACTTCAGCTTAAATAGACATACTAGCAAATAAAAACAGCTTTCATAGAAATCACCGACCAAACACATTTCATGTATACTCAGCTATTGTCTTTTTACAGTGTTCGGAAGAGAGTAAACTGGCATGATACCATTGCTGTGAAGGTGAAACTAGCCACTTGTAACTGTTTCAAGTATCCTGGTACTATGTATTTCATACACAAATGATACAAAACTCACATTTCATTGTTTTGCACCTGGCCTTTCTGAGCACTTCGCATTTGAGCCGTAAACTACAATTTAATAAAATTATTAAATCTACTTATGCAATGTTATGATTATCCCAAAGTGTACAAAAAGTTAGCACTTACCTAAATGATTTTTCATAAAATACGGATCCTTATTTAAATCAATAGTTTCAAGTGCTAACTGACGGAGACGTTCTCGACGATCTCTGTTGCTTTCTGACCATGATGCCTGTCCACCACCTCCCGTTTTGCCACCAGGACGATTTTGGAAATCCATACTGTGTCAGTACTACAGAAAACATAGTTACCATTACTTCTACTTAGCACATTAATTTTAAATGTTTGCTATGGTGATGACTTCTCCTTGTTTTAGCCCTTTCTAGTCATGTCATCATGCACCTGCTTAACATAATATACTACCCTCTGTTATGCAACTAATGCTTAAAGTTACCAGGTAAGGACATTTCATGACATACAACAAATGCCCCTTCATGGGAAGTCAAGGTGTTAACTCCCTGGCCACCTTTTAATACAGTTATATTATTATTTATTCAACCTGTGGATGTAACTGATGTAAACAACTTTACAAAAACAAGAGCAAAAGTATTATAGCCAAAGACATCAAAAACAATAACATTCACACCTCTCTTTCACTTTATACTATAAACTAAAATTTTCATCCAAATGCACAAAAAACAGTGATTATACCTACAGTGGATTATATGCTAGAGTGATAACACAATACAAGAATATTCGGCACCACCAAGCAAATCGTAAACAATCACATCACCAAAATGAACACAGTTAATGCCAACATTGTTACTAAACATCTGTGGTACAGCTCAGATTTTGCAACGTAAAGGTCACGGTTATTAGGAGGAAGACACGAACAATATCGACTACCAACCGTAAAAAGTCCTCCAGAGACATACATCTAAATGCAGGCACCATGCCTACTGTGCTGCCATCTGTATTCCGTAGTCTATTCCTTCAACATAGCTAAAAATGAAAATGTCCAAAAAACAGACCTCTGCAATCTATTGATCTCATAGGGTTATTTACTGTGCACATTCGAACTACTTGCTTCATCCTCTTATTCAACAATTACAGTATAAAACACTATAAATTACAGACCTCACCGATCATGAATTCAAACTTCTTGGTTTCTACATCAGACATGGATTTTAGAAAAGTTGCATGCCAAATTTAATACTTATTGACATTGTACACAAGTGAAAAGAAATATTCTTATGCCTCAGAGTCCATAGCAAACCTGCTGTGAAGTCCTTCAGGTTCTAACACCATATAGACTTGTAGGTACATACCCCAAACATGGAGGCAGTATAGTCCCTCAGAAACCTGAAATCTACCTACAAGCCACACAGAATTTGATAAGAACTGCAATGACAGTTCTGTGCAAAACCAGCATTCCTACAGAACTGCATTGCATTACAACAGAAAGAACCACAATCGACACCTGTTTCATGGACATAATAAAACAAGTACTATTACAAGATTTGAGGCATTTATAATGGGAAAAATGTAGACCCCTCTTGATGACATTTACTCTCGTAGCTTGCTACGAATAGTTTGTAGAATTCATAACAATCCTCCAAAATGATAACCACCTACAAGACTGCAAGTTACTATAACCAAAACAGTCCATATTGCACGTGAACACCAAATATTCGACATCAGTTTCTTCAATAATTAAATTTAAAGGATCCCACAATGGAAAGGATAAGAATTTTGAGACAATGTTTTCAACAAAAAAATCAATAAATTATTTGACATATTTATTGTCATTTTATAAAATAGTAACACCATCAAAGGTTAAGCCTGCAAGACACAGCAACCTCCAATTTTCTTGATCTTGTTCTCAGCTCGCTTGGAGAAGAACTTTGCTTTTACAATGACTGGTTGCTTTGGCAGGCTTCCCTTTCCTAGAAGTTTGTAATAACCCTGCAAATGAATTTCACAAAACAACTTCAGAAAACATAATAGTAATATCCTAAAAACAGATTGCTCAACAGTTGAATACAACAATCATGCTGAAAATAAATGCATTACAATAGTGCTACAGCACACCACCACTGACTTAGACACAAGATATATATAAAAGTATTGTTAACAAGGACTTTTGCCTTCATCCATCCACTCAATCAGATTATAAGTCACCAAACCAAAAAACTAAATTCAGTGATAACACGAATGTACTGTACAATCATTAAAGTATATCAGCTGGTTCAGTTTTCCTACACCTTTCTTCTTGTACATAACCAACACAAAGCAATGTTAAGTCAATAACAGCTTGTAGATACACATAAAATAAAGCTACAGTTTTTAAGCTATGCATATTTCAGACATTTTGTCTCCCTTTATGGTTCTGATCAGAAGTGAACAATCATCAGGATGAGTCAGTCCGCCCGTTCACAAGTCATCATTTCCAGAACTTGTAACAGATTACATTAACAGGATCACACTTACCGCCTTCACAATGTCAATAACTGGTGCCTTGCCTTCTGGATGATCTTTGTACCTAAGCCTGGTCTGCTCACTGACTAGGGTCCACAGTTTATCCAAGTTAATTGTGGGACACCACTTAGAGTTTCTTCGCAAATGATAATTTCTCATTCCGAGCTAGGACATATCAAGCAATTGGAAATTATATTTCTGCATGCAGAATTACATCATTTCATTCCTCACAGAATGTACATTACATCAGTGACTATTATAAGGCGTGGCTTTTGAAGGCATTAATAATGCCTTTACACAAAGAATTTGCTTCACACTGATGATGATTCTAAGTAGCTCTTGCATGTATTAGGATACTGTTCACAAATAAAGTATTAAGTATCATGTGATTCTTAAGAATGCTCAAACACAGCTGTTTTAACACACAATTAAAAAAACTTAAGTTCCAAACTAATTATTCTGGTGGTGTGGTGTCTTCATGTTTCCTTGAAAGGAATAATGGACAGCACAAGCTCTAACAAACTTGATTGTCAAAGGGGACAAGTAATTTTTAGAAAATTAAAAAAAAATGTATGGGTTGACTCTGACAAAGAAAGCAAGATATGAAATTAACAGCACCAATTCAGAAATATTGTGGGTGGGTCACTGGTATCCAATATCATCCCCATTTTATGGTTCTGATCAGATATGAACAGTCATTCAGGATGAGTCAGTCCGCCCGTTCACAAATCATCATTTCCAGAACTTGTAAGAGATTACATTAACAGAATCACACTTATCCCCTTCACAATGTCAACAGGTGCTCTGCCATCTGGATAATCTTTATACTTGAGACTGGTCCACTCATTCAATAGGGCCTATGATTTATATAACTAATAAATTCTATTTTATTCATAAACAGGCTACTATTTAGAGTTCCTTCAGAGGTGGTAATTTCTAACACCAAGCATGCAGATTGGTCCAACAGTGTTTAATAAGTTATAGCAAGGAACTATACTCCTAAAATAGCACTTTGTAAGACACAATGACTTTAAACATGAATAACTTCTATTCTCGGGCAGACTATCCAGAGGATGACAATGTTACAAACTAAAAGTTAGTTCCTTTTGCAATAAAAGCAACGTGCCATAAATCTTGAATACTAACCTATCCGTCCGTGGCCATGGCTCACATGTCCTCTCAGCTTCCTGGTCTTCTTCTTGTGAGTCGACTAACAAATAAAAATAGTTGAATATAAGTACCGTTACTAGGAACATAATGTGCCCTGTTCTCTACAAAACTTAATACATACAATTCAACTCAACATGTCTTCCTCTATAATTTTTTCAATAGATGTGAAAAATTATATGCTCATCAATACTTAAGCATGAAATGCATTACGAAACGCATTTGGTAAAAAAATAATGTAAATATATTATAACACTGTAAAACTTTCAAATACCTTACAAGGAAACAGATTAGTAAGATAAATCTATATATTAACAAGCCGACATCAAGCACACCGTACACTCACCATCTTCTCCAAGCGTCAAGAACCTCAGGTATAAACCAGTATGACCAACGCAAAATAATTTGTACACATGAAATAAATGATGGATCTACGCTACCGACTACGCCACAGAACATAAACTAAACCTTCCAGGTTATCGAGAACCAATCATGTAGATATCACAAATTCATGCTAAAGAATCACAGATTATCAATGCATATCCACGGATCATTTATAGAAGACTACACACACACACACACACACACGGAGAGAAACTGGAGTCAACAAATATAGGTTAAAAATTTAACTGACCCCGACATGACATCAATTTTGCTCTTAATAATACAATTTAACTAATTAATAAATACCGTAGTGAACGTTCATGAGAAAGCCAATTTTAATTTATGTTTCTTATATTTCCAGTTTATCCAAGCAAGCCAAATTAATCAGTTCATTTTACTTGAGATAACTTAAAGCAGAGAGCATACTCATATTTGATAAGTTTATTTGAATTTCAAGATAGAAAGTGTTTTAATGCCATTTACCTTATTTCTTGCACTTATTGCTTTTCTGAAATATTTACAACTTTTTAATGAACTTACCCAGTCAATAAGAAAGGGTGAACATGATGATGCAATATAATACATAAACAAAAGGACACATTAATGTTAAAAGAGCACACAAGTAATGAAGCCCATAATTTATGACAATTATTATGTACATTATAATATTATCAGAAGTATTTGTTTATTTTATTAACCACCATCATTTCCTCTTCCTTAGTGGTTCATTGGGATAGAAACTTGGAGGAGGGCAGAAGTCACAGAAAGAAAATACAAAACAGAACTGAAATTTCTCTTTGCTGTACTGTCTACAAACTTACTAATTAGTAAACACCATTCCTAGATTAGAATACTATATTAATAGGTGACACTATCCTAAATATGCACTAGCATAACTGTTCCCTGAAAAAGAAGGTGACTGGCACCTTTTATGATCAATCTTAATTACATCAATATATTGTCAGCAAAGACACACTAACATTACAACATGCTGTACCTTTGCAGAACTGTTCCATCCACAACAGTCAAAGGGTTACAACCTACAACTCTTATTTGACATATTTTTTGATACAGTAAATATTTAATTAAAGAGAAAGAAAAAATCTTCTCTGTGCTGTATTATATCTGTAATGAAACTAGCTTTGTTACAACAAATTTGTATGAATAATAAATAAACATCAATGACAGTGAGATAGCAAAACAGCAAAGAATGTATTTGGAAAATGTGTATATTAAACTGTCTTTAAAACCCTGACAAAAAAGCTGCCTAGTTTCTGTGAAATAACAGTGATTTCCAGTTAACTATTAAGAATAATATTAAATTTAATGTACAAAGTGAACCATCTCCAAAATTTATACATTGTCATGGTTTATACACAAAGTTGTAATCTTCGTAAACATCAATATTCATAACATTGTGACATCATCACAGCCATTCTGTTCAATATGTCAATATCCTTTGCTGGATGAAAGAGATGGTGCAGTCAGACCATTTACAACAAGGAGTAAGGTTGACAGTAAAAGTTCTGATATTATATTAATTTATTTTTACCTATATTAGCTATACAGAATTCTTACAACTTGGTGTTAAGCAACATTAATATTCAAACCTTCTGTCACAGTGTTTATAAGTGCTCATAATTACATCTTTACTGTTATAATGGCTCAAGCAGCTGCTGAACATCACCATTTGGTCAGTTATGATGATAACAACAATAATAAACAAGTTGACACATACTAAAAATTTAAAAAAATTAAACATGTCAATATGGCAGGCACAGGATATGAACATTCTATTGTATAACAGTGTCTTGACATGTTTGAATCAGAAAATACAATGTTATTTGTTTTACTGAAAAAGAGAATTCTGTTATCTGGTGATGAATCATATTTTAAATGGTGGTTCTTACTGAGCAGTTGCTACATATGAATTTTGTTCAACAATTTTGGGTAGATATTTTGCTTAGGTTTCAACAATAAAAATACAAATGTGTCCAAACCCTTTCAGCAACCAATTTTTGCAACTATAACGTAGTTAACCTCTTAAGTGTGTAAGATGTCATCCACTTAACGATGCATCTCATAGTGCACACATCACAAGTTACTCCCCATACACTTAAAAAACTGCAGTGGGGGGAAGAAACAAAAATGGGGCTGGGGGGACAATGTAAAAGACAAAAAACAACATCCTGTAGAGGCAATGGCTGGTCATGCTTGAAGGGTTAATGATTCTGTTCTTTGACATTTATTACTCTTCACCTATCTCTGGCCTATTCTGTTTCATAATTTTTTCTGGGACAATAAATTTTCTGTACATTTGGTACGACTACTCAGACAAGGGATCAGCCCCTCACATGACCTTATACAAGACAACAAAAAACAGGCACAACCATGTTACACGTGGGATTTGAATGTGCAATATCAATGTTTGACTAGTCAAGACTGTATGCATCTTAGAGAGCACGCAATATCAATGTTTGACTGGTCAAGACTGTATACATCTTAGAGAGCACAACTACTGTACTCAGTCTCTCTGATAACTTTTTTTCGATTCACCCATTATAATAACATTTACACACATTTTCTCTCAAAGGTTTCTTCTCGCAAAAACACACAGTAACCATAATACTAGTCTGTTCACATTCTACTTTATAAGAATTTCAATCATAAAATCAAGGCTGTCTGTTTTGAGACCTCATGCAATCAACACAAAACACATTGAATAAACAGAGAACTAGAGCATCAGATTCTTGCCTTCAGACTCCACTTTAACAATTATAACATAAAACAGGTATGTACAACCCCATCTGACACATGAACTGACACTGGTATCTTACCATTAATTAAATTACTGAATTATAATTAGAAACTGAAAATTACAAAAACCACATAAATATAACAACACATAAAAGTGAATGAAAAAAGTAACATTTTAAAATTATCACCACAAAAATATGCATTGTAAAACTTCTGGCCAAATTTATTTCATAAATACTTATAATTTGGGTTCACTATGTGATGATACAAAGACAAAGAAACCTCCCACATGGGAGGAGTCCAAGGCTCGACTTTGAGCTGTTACGCCACAGTAGAAGATGTGATGATACAACTTACATCTCCTTTTCAAAATGTGGATCAGTAAATGTAATCAGTATAATTCAGCACTTCCTATCTGATGAATGGAGGGATTTGAGGTGGGCTACAAAATGGTTTTCATATCTGTCAGAACACAAAGGATAAAAGAAAACAATAAATACTTCACTACCCTTCCACGCACATCTGAATATTCACATATTATATGGAGGTGATATATGATTATTTTTACCAAGATATATTTTGAAAAATGGGGACAGAAAAATTATGATTTTCAAATCAGTCTCATAAGTAAATGGGATATGAGATATTTCTAGAGATGGACTATGTAATTAAAAATATTTAGTGTTATAATCCACTTGAAGGAAGACATGAAAGTTGAGAAATGAGAATAGAGGTGCTCACAACCCACCCCCTGACAATGAAATATTAACAAGCATATTAACATTCATTAAATGTTTCTTGTGTTCATTCAAAACTGCCTTATCTGTTTCCATTTAATTTACAAAATGCCTAATTTATATTAATCTTTATTAAAAGCCACTCTTTAAAAAAGGGGGAAAAAACAGAACATTAGTCAAGAGGACTCATTGTACTCATATAGTAATGGCAGAAATGTAACAAACTAAGAAACTGGCAAATTGTTTCTGACAATAAGAACCACTCATTTTAGATTCATCATGATTAAAATCAAAAACACTGCAGCTTTAGTCTCTGATGCTTAGTAAAGCAGACATTCATGATGTATTGGAGATATGCAGCAGACAGATGCATAAGATGATTGACTGGTGCCATATCCTAGCGAGGATGTGACAAAGGCAGCAACAGAGCCAATCTAACAGAAAGAATTTAATTATTACTAGGAGACAACTACACAACTACAATAAATACACTGAATAATTCATTTTGAGTGAGACATACTTATTTCAATTTGAAGAGTGAAAAATCTAGAGGAAGGAAATGTGTGAAAAATAATTTCCAGAAATAACTCATAACCTCAAGAGACTTTACATTTGTACACAAAGTCAAGAAATGTTTGATATTAAAAAGTATGTTATTCACAAATCCACTTTCCAAAACACAGAAGATATGTAAACAATAACTGTGACATATAAGACAAAAATTCTGTTTGTTGTTTTGCATGACTGCATCTTGGTTAAGGTTTCATCACTATGCGAGGACTTTTCTGTCAGATCTATGGTGTTCAAACTGCAAAAAATCCAAACACACACTGCATATTTACCTGCTACAATAGCAGACTGAAAATAAGGCTGACTTAGTCTTATGATTGCATGCAACTCTCAGGGAGACTCAATGGAACCAGAATGCCGAATATCACGGTAACATGGGCGACAAACAGGCACAGCACGCTGTGACAGATGTCCAGGGAGTGGTGTATGCTTATCAATACAACGTGTGCAGAAAACTTCTCCACATTTCCAGCAGTGGTACTATAATGCAACAAACAATTTACATGGTCAAAGAAAACTGTAAACCTCAAAAGTATTCAGAACAATTTTAAAGTGTAATGATGGAACAAAAGTTTATGTTTTACTAAAGTCTGTCAATGCAATATGAAAATAACAGATATTAAAAATATGAGGTCTGGGATATTAAGAAGACCAAAGTACAATTGTTAAAAGGAATGGTTAAAACACTGGAAGGAAAAAATTTGGAGAAAGCAACTAGAATTATTGACAGCTATGGAATGTAAGAGGAGATAACCTATGAGAAAACCAACATAGCAGTAGCAAGAATAAGAAAAGAAAAACAGGGGAAGAAGGACTCTAGGGCATGGTACATATGTACATTGCACAAACACCTGAGTACCAATTTGAATGTAAATGTGAATAGTTTTTTTAAATTTCAACCAGTATATCCACACTAAAACCTACATTATTTATGAAGGGACTGATGAAATTTGGTATTAAAGGCCTACAGAAATGTGTTAACAAACTGAACTTTGATGCAAACTGGACAACATGGACTGTTAACATATATAAAGGCCTAAACAAATTTATATACACAGTTTAATAAATATCAAGTAAATGTTTTAGACAAAAGTTATATACGTGGAATTTTTCAGGTTTTTAACCACAAGAAACAATTATTTGAGTGATTCCAAACTACTTGTTTCAGAGAAAATGTGATTGTTTGCAGTCTCTTCTAATTTTATAACTCAGGTAATTAGACTACATTTCTTTTACTTACAAAATCAAACTGATAACAAGGTCAAGTGAATGACTGGAAGGAGAGAAGGGAACAAGGAAGAGAATCTTGAGAGTGGTGGTGGTGGTATTACAAATTTTAAATTTTAGATAAAGCTCACAATGATTTCACTGAAAATAAAATCCCTCACCTTCCTACTGAAGTGATCAAAAGGTGTGGAACATGCACATTCTCTGATATTCCGCAGTGTTTTCCAGTCAAGAGCAACAGAGCCCAATTCTGCTGCCAACTGTTCCACACTCAAAACACCTGCTGCATTACTGCTCAACTTTGTTGAATCTGCTCGTAACCCTGTAATCAGCATTTATTTCATTCAGGTGACCAATACCAGTCATGACAGTGTGCCTTGTAATTTGGTCCACGGTCTCTTGAAGACATAAGAATGGTAATGGTTACAAGATGAGACAGACAAGACATGTAGTATGCATGGGAATCTACAAAGAAAAATGGAGTAAAGTCCTCAAGGGAGAGGCCACTTGAGAAAACTGAAAGTATTTAAAATGGCAAAAAACATGGCCCAACAACCACATTTAAAAAGTGAAAGATTACTAAGATAAAGTAAATAATCAGACTCTGCTAGCTCTCTGCCCTTTCCTGTGCCAACAAATCATGTTTAATATCAATATTCATTTGATCCAAATAGATATTAGACATAGATTAAAAATTTGAACTGGTTCAGGATGGGATTCACATGTCAGCATGTGTGAGCATGATATACCTTTGGGTTCTGTAACAGAGAATTTGGTCTCTGAGTCTTTAATTCAAATTTATAGAAGATGAAGTTATGGTAGTAAAACATGACACAGAATGTGACACAAATGCCAGTAATTACAGAAGAGACAGCCATTGTGGTAAAAAAATTCCACAGTGTGTGGAGGAAATACCACTACTAAGAAATAGGTTAGGTAAAGTTGTCCCTAGTATTTAACTAATACTGTAACTAAGCACCATAACATGCAGATGTAGGGGGAACTGGAGGTACAGCTCCGCATACCTTCTTGACGTCAGCTCTACATAGAGTTGAGTGGGTTAGTTTGGAATTTAGTATGGGTTTTGATCTGAATTGTTTCATGTTGATAAAGCGTGAAAAGAATTTAAACTGAATTGACTACAAGCTCATAACTTAATAAAGTGATCTTCATGTCATTAGGATAATGGATAACGTGCCAAAGTTTGGAACCCATCTGTATATAGTTACCATTATTGGAAGGATGGTTTATTTTCAGCTGTACCAGGCTGTTTGGAGCTAAATTGTCTTCTCTGCACTTCTCATATAGATATTTGTTATCCAACATCATACCTTGAAGGCTGACAATGGTGCCATCTATAGGCACAGTGGGAAAATTTCTCTTATTATCCTTACATTCTGTAAGTTTCTGTTTCAAGAAGTTTATCCTCTGTAAATAAAAAAGAAAATATTGTAACTTTAAAACAAATTAATTTAATAATTACGTAACAAACCCTTTCAACAACACCTTTGATGATAAATCAAACACGCAATGATACAGACTGTATCAAGAAAACCAGCGAAAGCCACGTAGGAGAAAACATTTCTCCCATAAAAAGTAAGAACTTGGGGTAACATTATTGAAAGAGATGTACTTTGCAGATACAGATGTAAATGCATATAAGATGTGCAAGGTCAGTTATCTGAGGACATGAACCTCATTTGACCCTATGACAACTCAATTTTTTCTGGGGCAGGAAGTTGTCAATCAATAACCACATTCACCACCTTGGTATTTAAGATAATGTAAACAAGAACAGTAGAGCCCAACACCAATAGAAAGACATTTCACGAGGTATTAACTGGCACCAAAATTAACTAACAGTAGAAGTTTCTGACCCATAACAATTGTAATGTTAAGACACATCAGAACATACTGTGCTGTTATCTTAATCCACTGGCACATTATCTCACTTTATATTCAAAACATAAATATAAAATTCAAAGAAAATAAATTATCACAAGATTCTATAGAGCAAAAAGATCTAGTGTTCACATATGACACGAATGTGATCAATTTCACTTTTCCAAAGCTTAACCTTTGACAGTCATGCCAACAGATTTGCTCCTTTTTAAACAGATTTAAATAATGAGCTGCTGACAAACACACTTAAATGATAATAACATTAATATGGCATAAGATTTACACTATAAAAGCATGACAATTTTACCTTTGTCAGCAGGCGTATATGGTCCTCAAGTGAAGAACTGTGATCACAGGTAGCTAGCAACAAGTCTCCCAAAGGTTCTCTGGGATGGACACCACTCTCAAAACGACAGTACATCCCACGCCAGAACTTTATATTCTGGGGTGCAATATTGGGCACAAGGATATCTGGGGTAGCCAGTTCTAAATACAATGGATTGAGATATTCATTCATGTGATTTGCCATGTAACCCCAGAGGGAGAATGTTCGCTCATTTAACCTGAAAATGCAATGTGATGTTAATTATGTTTCCTTACTATGTACTGGTATTAAAGTGAGGATAACAAGACCTCAGTATGCAAAATGTGCATGTTTCATCACTACAGGGGATTCTTACTGCTTGCAGTCAATACAGTGCTTCAAGAGGGCCACATTAAATTGGCATGACATCCTGATTTCTTCTTGGTTTTATTTTATTCCCTTTAAAGTAGTGTTTGTATAGTAAAACATCCATATAAACAAATTTGTGGGACCAAAGCTTTGGGATCTGTTATATATGAGTCTTGGTGATTATCAATAATTTTTTTATTATATGGGTTTTGCTTCATTCCTGATTTTTACTGTTAATATTGTACATAAACCAATAAAAATATCAGATAGTGCAATAAAAAGTCTCCTGAAGGCAAGAATAGAGCCAACTCCCAAAACATTATGTACCTCAAACAACAAACAAAGTCAAATATAACTGCAGTGTCCATACATACCTTAGATCAATGCGATCCTTCTCACAGTTACCAATAAAAGTACCAAACTGACATGACTGAACATGGTCATGCAATGTGAGTAAAAACCGTTCATTAAACTGGAATGTGCCTGGAAACTGTTGTGCTAATTGCCAAGTGCAATCAATAAACTGGGTGAACACCGGTGACACTTCTTTTGGGTCTCCTGCCACATGACCACATCGCTCACTAAACTTGTGACCAAATGCCAACCAATCCTTCTCTATCAGGGCCTGTAAATAAATTAAATGTTTCCATTTATTTAAATGTGGTATTTATCCTGCTTCTCATATATTTGTGCATAAGTTTCGTCTCTTCCTAAGCACCCCACTATATAATTTAAATTAAGACTTTATAACAGAAAAAGGTGTTACAGAAGACTGAATGTTTTCTTTTTGGTTACCAGAAATACAAGTTCATATTCATTCACCTGACCAAGAGGATTTCTGAATTCATGTGTATGAGCAAATAAGAACACATTCCTGACATGACTTAACAATCAATACCTGAAATCCTTGTATGGTCCTGTAGTAGGGGTCCAGGAACAAACTTGCAAGTGAGCACACCTGTGCTGTACGGTCCCAGCCATCTGAACAGTGCACCACAACACTTATTCCTCTTTCATTAACAGCCTGCCCTATAAACCACGATGTCTCCAGGATTGATTTGATGTGTCGAAGCCAAGCACTTGACTCTATGCCTCCCAGAAAACTATTCATGGTAGGAGATTTCAGTTCACAAGCTGCAAACAAATATCTCATTTTATATGTGCTTCTTGAAACATAGTATTTAATAGCAACAATTTAAAACTTTAAATCCTCAGAACATGTAAATATATTAATTCAATATATTAAACATAACAATATTTTGCTTTCACAAACAAATGCTATTAAAATATATTTTACTCACTTTCAATCAACTTTGCTAAGCTGCTACGCATTACATGAATGTTTTCAATGCCAAGAAAGTGAAACTTGATGTTTTCATAAAAATTTTCATTTTCATAACCTTTCCCAGCTGCACGGTTTGCCATGGCATTTATCTGGAAAACAGGAAGTCATAAATAACACTGAAAGCATACAGTAATACAAAAACCATCACTTTGGGGTAAGAATTATAAGGGGCAAGCAAAAAACAGTATAGCTATAGACCTGTTGGAAAACAAATGTTAAATACCATGAGATATATTTATGTTGTATGACATAGGGATCTCACTAAAGCAACACTAGACTGCCCACTTTTGTTATTGTCTGAATGTGCAGAATTTTGTTTTGTAGTTTACACAGTATATATTACATACTAGGAATTGATGGTTAATGCTCACTTGTATTGTCAAACACTGCTCTCTACACTTTACCTTCTTTAAAGTAGCACTTTTGTCCGGTTCCTTTTACCATACACAGTCATAAGCAAACTAGTCCATACATCTACTGATATATGTTTGTAGGAAATGACTTGACCAATACAGGCAATATGTTTGTAGGAAATGACTTGACCAAGTTTCCAGTGTAGACAAAACTCAGTGGTCTCAATAAAGTACACAGGACAGTAGTAGCACAAAGCAGACAATCCTTTCCTTCTGTCAGAAGATGTGACAGAGGAAGTCTCTTAAATATTTTCTATCTTCCTTATCTAGACAATGTACAATGCTCAAAGAAAATAAGTACATGAACATTTCTGTAGTCAGTAATGTTTAAACACTCTATATTGAATTTATTATGCCCAAATCAAAAGCCTACGCTGCCACAGTATGTAAGGAAATCGACAGTACAACTTTCAACAATTTTACAAATTCCTAAGTTCAAGTATCTTTAAAATTATGCAATAAAAGTGTGTTTTATGTCGTGCAAATAGCAGTAACTTACCCGTGGCCGTGTATCTACCACATACATGAAACTATTGTTCGGATTGGTCCTCAGAACACAATTTAACATCTGTTCATCCTCCATACATCTTGCACTGAACCCTGACAGGGGCTGGCTGCAGCGACATATTGCTGCCTGTGAAGGATGATTGTACTTAAATTATTATATACCCTAGCTATATTTAAATGTCGCAAGTGCAATGACATATCACTGCATAAAGTACTTTGTTGCATTCTTGAATAAAGAATAAGAATAAATTATGATCAATCAGTATACATGACGAGTCTTCCAATTTTTCTGTTTCATATGCAAACAAATGTTAAACTAAATTCAGAAACTGAAGAAATAGCCTGCCTGGGTTATAATCTTAGCTGAGTAGTAACCCAGAAAGTGTAAATAGTATTCATGTCTGAAATTGTAGCCAAATACTAGAACAGAAATTTTAAACAGTGGCCAAGTATCAAATTGTAGCCAGAAATTATAAACATTGGCCAGGCCTGTAATTCTACTTGGAGACTGATACAAAAATCATAAACAGTTACCACATCTGAAACTGAAACAAGGTAGTAGTAGACAAATTCTAATAAGAAATTAGCATGAAGGTAACAAAGAGTGTTCATCTCATAATTCTAATGATTCTAGTATGTGACAGGTTAAGCAAATTTTCTTAACCTTTATCATCTGTGTGTCATGGCTTACATGTGGTCCATCTGGCTGTGCATTACACTATTAACCCACGAGTTAAAATCTAGCAAGCAGCCTCATAGTACAGGGGTTTAAAAACACTATTTCCACACGACAAAGGTTAATTTGTATCTTTTACTTTTTCACAGTTAATAGAAAAAAAGTACATTAACATTTCCAAAAGCAAGTATCATAATATAAACTTCACATTATAAACATCTGATCAAATAGTACCCTGGGCTCAGAATGTAGTTGGCTACTAGCATAGATATCTTATATAGCTACACAACTATTCAAACAAATAAAACATTAAAATAAAAACAATGGTTTTCTTCTGTACAAATGTGTATATAAATGCAAAACACCATTTCATTAATTTGTTTTACACATTACCTTATTTCTGTGAAGGTATGACAAAACTGGAAGTCTGCCTTTGCTTCGAAAGCGAGAACTACCAAGCAATACAGTAGTTGAAGCTGAAGAAGGGACATACAGATATCTTGGATATGTGTCACACAGCTGGTTTGAAAACAAATAACAGCATTAAAATAGGGAAGCTGAAATACAACAATAAAAAAAGACAACTGCAGTAGTAACAAGAACTGTAACTTAAAACTATGTACAGTATTTGAATATAATCAGAAACACAAGACAACGCATTTATTATTAGAATCATTATAGGAAAATAATAAAAATTCATAAGCAGAAAAAATGTACCAACACTGATAAAACGTTATCATCTTAATCTAACTTAAACTAAATTAAATATAGTCATAATGGAGAGGTAAGAGTTGGAGAAAAATTAAAATTGAAATGTGAAGGTTGTGTTCTTGTGTTAAACACTCTTTTTCTGTACGCAACACATACCTCGTAATCTTTATTAAGTAAAGTAAGGGTCCACTGATCACTAGGAACTCTCATACGTTGATATTCTGACTGCAAGTCAAAATAGTTCCAGCCAGCTGGTTTAGGAATATCCTCGGAGCTTGATGTATAGTGAAAGCAGTACAAGTCCTCAATGTGAACTGTTCAAAATAAAAAAATATATTACGGAATTAGCGAAACATTTACAGTACTACTATTCAATATCAAACAATATTATGACTAATAAAATAGAAAACATACAAAAGAAAGTGGTCATGGTCTAATTTAAGGTACTATCCTGGCTTCAGCCTGGAGGGAATGAGGAAAACCATGAAAAGCCTGTTCGGACAGCCACTTTCCAAAATGAGATTTAAAGCTGGGACCTCCTAAATACAGAGCAGGATTGGAAACCATTTGACCACAATGTTTGGTATGTACCCTTCCCTTGTACCTAAAAATAGAATCGGCCTCCTACATACCCAGACAATAAACATTACATACAAAGCATCCCATGATTGGAAACAGAATAATGTTTATATCTGACACCACAGACTATTTTTACTGCCACAATTAAAATGGATATTAATGCACAAATATCATTAAGTTTGGTTGACAATCGTTCTAGACAAAAATTTTTGATTAGTCTCAGTGTTTAAGATCCATTACATTTTTCAACTTTAACTGGTCATCTTCAGGTTGTTCTCTCTAAGTGCTTGAAACTAATTGATATGACTGCTAAATTGTATACATACTTTCTGTTGCGGACTCCACCACATAATGGACTGTGCATTAAGCAGCTTACCTATTTAGTCAGAGTAGCCTATGTAGATGTAGTTACTGGTGAAAAGTTGTAGTTGAAGGAGTTGGTTCATGTTTCAGGGGTAGATCTGGGTGGTTGGGGGAGGGAGGGGTGGACAGAACACTCTTTAGGTAATACTGGAATTTATCAGGATTTCAAAACTGGGATTGTTACTACATGTAGTGGATCTTAATAAACATTGAGAATGGGAAACTTGGATATCTTTTTACCTGAAAATAAGCCAGTTCTTCTTACCTGCGTAGATGCTAAAATGGTAATGTGTGCCATACCTGGTTGGGCCAACTGCTGGAGTGTCACAAACACCTCGTGGCAGTCTCGTTCACGTGGAATCACAAAAGTTACAGACAGGAATGTCTTGCACATTATCTGAAGTGGAGAGCCTGTTGTTGTCAGTGGTAATTTCTCAACACTGGCTATATGCATGTGAAGTATCTGGAATCCAAACAATTAACATCAATGATATTCTACAACAGAATTATTTATCATGACATATTGTTTTCAGAACAAATATGAACAAAACTCAACAGTGAAGGAATGAACCATCATAAATATTTTTTATGATCACAATTATAAATTCCTCATTCTAATGCAATTCTGTAAAATGTAGTTCATTACAAATCTCTTCAGTTACCAAGAATGAGTCAAAAGAATTAACAGAGTGGCATAATCCATGATAGGATATCCAAGGCTGCATACCCATGTCTCCTTCTTGCCATCAGGATCCACAAATATAAGATGTGTTGCAGTAAGGTACAAGGTTCCTATTGATGGTTTGCGGGCATTGTAGCGGTCCAGCATTCGGACATTCTCTACCTGCAAAATCACAAGCCATAACAGTTCCACCAACACAGCTCATTAATTAATGCCGTCAGTACATTATTAATACATTAACTGGCAAGTGACGCAAATCCGTCAACCTAATGAAAAATATATGTCCTAAGGAATGATTTCCAGTTAATGGTGAGTTTGAAATTAGCGGAAGCAGAAGACAACAGCCCATTTCAAGATACCATTCTGTCACCTGTTACAAGTGCTACGATAATCTGTAAAAGACCTCTGGCTACACAGTCTTACAGTAAACAATTATACCAGAGACATGTGAAATACGAAGCAGAAGGGCTAACCAATACACTACTGCATTTCGTGGAATAATTCGAACTGGTCACTCATAAGTTCAAGTCTAGTGCCTTATCTGTACATTATCCTGCTCGGTGAATTTGAAAAGAAGCGGCCGTGCCCTATTCCAAAGCACTAGCCACTATCCAAGGCACATTGGGATGGAATAGCTGCGAAAAATTACGACATTCAGCCAAGAAAATCAATTGTCCGTGCGAACTTCTGTGTACGCCTCAAACACGTGCAAAACGCGTTGTAGATACTCCAACCTGCTTAGCTAAACCAAGGCACAACACGAACAGTATGCCTATATAAACTAGCAAAGGAATAAATCAATGTTCAAGCGATGAATGGAAGTTCCTGATATTTTTCAGCAGTACCGATAACAGGACAAAGCAAGCGTGCCATTGTGAAATTTTGGACGCAATATCAAGCTAGATCGCTATAGGAAAATGAAACACGTGACAAATCCTTTAATACCAGTGCGTGAAGTCGAAATATTTCGTCAAATTTCACCAGCCATATCGTGCAAAACGTACACCACCGAACACGAGAGCTTAGTTCCCCGAATTACGAAGGAAATACCCACCCTTAATTGCTATATAACACTCGCTACACAGACCACGTACGGAATAATAGTTTTTTAAAGTAGTGAACTACAAGAGTCTTCGTGCTAGTGGGCCCCAACGTTTGAAAAAACAAAGAAAAGTGAGACGAAAACGGAGTCATTGGATTGCGGTCTTCTGGGTTACGGCGCCGTGCAGTCAAGTAGGCAGAGGAACCTTTCGCCTAAATTTTCATGGTAGAAGTCACTTATCCTCCGAAACGCTGATAACCATAAAAAAAACACTACAATGCGTCATAACCCACAAGACCACAACAAAGATGCATGAAGTGACTCTTCACAATGCATTTTCAGGGTGATTAAATAGGTCGATCCTGTAATCTTTCTACGAAGATTACAAATGACGAGAATACGAAATCATTGTCTTCGTCTTCTAATGGTTTATTTAACGACGCTTTCTAATTCGAATAAGCTCCAAAGCAATGGTTCTCAAGCTTTTTCTTCCTGCAGCAAATGCACTTTTGACATTAAATGTCGAGGAACGTTGACAGTAATGGTCTACGTAGCAAATCTCTCGCGAACTATTGAGGCGAAAATGGAACGGAGAAAGCAACTAACAAAAAGGAGGTGTCTCCCCTAAACGTCAATGCAAGTTTGTATTCCGTCTTTATTAATGAATATGTAAAGTATTTGAGATTCTCGTGGCGTTGATGTCGACTGTGGTAATCTGGGTTATCACCCGCGTAGTCTTGTAGGAGGTTTCCAACCTTCTTATGGATCCAATCGTGACCTGACTTATTCCCCATTCATCAGTGCAGTTTCCAGGGGAAGGAGTCAGTGATTGTTATCAGTTTATCGGCAAATGAAGGGGGAGAGACTGAAACTCAGTGACTCGTAAAAATGGCTGTCTTCTGGGCTGTAGCGCCGTGTAGTCTGGTAGTAGTTTACCGACGTTTCAGAGGAATTGCACAACAAATCTCAGTGGGGTAGTTGATCTTAATTCCAATTCCAACCCCAAATCGTAACGCAGACTGAAATTTTAAAATAGTATTTATTTGTTTGTTTCTTGGTTTATTTAAGGATGTTTTCTCAACTTCATGGTTTAGACCTATATAAAAGTCGACTGCGAATTTAACTGGCAGGAATACTTGACGTAGTCTACTGTCCTAGCGTTCGTCTGGAACTAAACAAAGCAAGGAAACGCCTCAGGATACGACACCAAGCCAAGACTCAAACCCAGAACTTTCCAAATACGAAGCACGAGTGGTTATTACTGAAACGCGACGTTTGATAGCGTCGTCCTGTTAAGTCCGCAGAAAGTCAGAGACGTAAATGGCACACAATAAACAATGCATGCAGCCAATCACAGTAATACAGAACACAACATTTTCTGACGACTTCATAATCACACAGAAGTGTCTTAGCCACCTTTTTGTGAATGGAGAGGCCGTGGTAGAGCTGTGGCGATGACCCTCCTTGGTCTTGAAGCAACCATGACCGCACACGTACGTAGAGAGAGGGAGAGGTCGGGATTCCAGTGTAATTACCCGACGCAACTGGGGTCTCGGGTGAGACTATATCTTGGTAACGATACATATTCATTAGCGCTATAAACGTACGTCACTCATAGCAGAGTATCTGTCTCCAAAAATCGGTCATTCATTAATTAGCGCAAGACTACTCCTGCTCGTCATCACTCGATTTCAAATCAAATATTTATAAAACATACATATATTACAATTTCATTGCATTATAATCGTTCAGACACTTTACAAATAACGATCTGAAACGTTCTCATTAAAGATATATGGCATGATTAATTTATCATGTTATCCAATCACGTCACATTGAAACGTCATTAATATATATAATAACCATTTTCCGGACTGGTTGTATGGCTGGAATAATACCAGAGCACAATGTTTAAAATATACGCACACAACACATTACATTATTAAAAAAATCTTATCTGGAAAGAACTGCAACAAAGCACCGAAATTCACATAGCGACTGTTCGTATTGACTGTCTTGGTAAACCTCTGCCATTGGAGTAGTCTAACGGCCATGGGCGAAGAAGCGCATGCCCCACCCACACTACCAGAAGTACACTGCGAACGGAAAAGCAAAATTAATTCCATTAACTGCGGAGAAAAACATCATATGTGAAAAAATGTTTGGAATCTGTAAGACCATCTGAAGGTGCTATTCAAATTACTAATCAGTACAAAAGTATATTTACGAAACAGATATACCGTCACGATATTATAACGTGATTTAAGACCCGTTTTGTTTAATTTTTGCAGCGAAAACAGAGGGGGGGGGGGGCAAAAAATTGAAATACGTTTACAAGAACTCTACGTTCAAATACAGTAAAAAAAAATTGTTGGTATGTTAAATGTAAAGACAGTCAGTACACACAGCCACTGTGTGCTTCTGTTAAACAGGACACATTATTTATCTTTCTAGAGCATTCTGGAACTTCACACAACTAATTATACTAGTTCAACAAGTGTAATATTTGGAAACTCTCAGGTTTTGGAGAGAATTTTCATTTTTAGGGATGTGATCCAAAAATGGGGTCTCTCACTCAGAAGGGGGAACACAGATTGCAGGTGTTTGAGAACAGGGTGTTGAGGAGGATATTTGGGCCTACGAGGGAAGACGATGGGGTCTAGAGAAAACTGCATAATGATGAGCTTAGAAATCTGTACTCCTCCCCCAGTATTGTCAGGGTGATTAAGTCGAGAAGAATGAGATGGGCGGGGCATGTAGCGCGCATGGATGGGACAAGAGGTGTGCAACGAGTATTGGTTGGGAAGCCTGAGGGTAAGAGACCTCTGGGGAGACCTAGAAGTAGATGGGAGGATAATCTCAGGCGGGATCTATGGGAGATAGGAGTTGAAGGAAACTGGATTTTGTTGGCCCAGGACAGGGTCCAGTGGAGGGCTTTAGTTAATTCGGTGATGAACCTTCGGGTTCGGTAAGCCATCTAGTTAGTTACATTCAAAAATGAAACAAATACGCCAATTTGCTTAAGATCTGATTTAACGTATATATTTCTGTTCTTTGCTCTTCCCTGACCTAACCACTTTGTCCAAACAAATATAATAAAAACAAATGGAAACACACATTTCGTGGAAACTTATTTTTATATGAATATGTATCTGGAAAGAAGAGGGGGGGGGGGGGGGGGGGGCAAAAAATTGAAATACGTTTACAAGAACTCTACGTTCAAATACAGTAAAAAAAAATTGTTGGTATGTTAAATGTAAAGACAGTCAGTACACACAGCCACTGTGTGCTTCTGTTAAACAGGACACATTATTTATCTTTCTAGAGCATTCTGGAACTTCACACAACTAATTATACTAGTTCAACAAGTGTAATATTTGGAAACTCTCAGGTTTTGGAGAGAATTTTCATTTTTAGGGATGTGATCCAAAAATGGGGTCTCTCACTCAGAAGGGGGAACACAGATTGCAGGTGTTTGAGAACAGGGTGTTGAGGAGGATATTTGGGCCTACGAGGGAAGACGATGGGGTCTAGAGAAAACTGCATAATGATGAGCTTAGAAATCTGTACTCCTCCCCCAGTATTGTCAGGGTGATTAAGTCGAGAAGAATGAGATGGGCGGGGCATGTAGCGCGCATGGATGGGACAAGAGGTGTGCAACGAGTATTGGTTGGGAAGCCTGAGGGTAAGAGACCTCTGGGGAGACCTAGAAGTAGATGGGAGGATAATCTCAGGCGGGATCTATGGGAGATAGGAGTTGAAGGAAACTGGATTTTGTTGGCCCAGGACAGGGTCCAGTGGAGGGCTTTAGTTAATTCGGTGATGAACCTTCGGGTTCGGTAAGCCATCTAGTTAGTTACATTCAAAAATGAAACAAATACGCCAATTTGCTTAAGATCTGATTTAACGTATATATTTCTGTTCTTTGCTCTTCCCTGACCTAACCACTTTGTCCAAACAAATATAATAAAAACAAATGGAAACACACATTTCGTGGAAACTTATTTTTATATGAATATGTATCTGGATTAGAGAATATGACAAACACTAATGCAACATTATCTCCAATATATGAACACTGTTTAATGGGAAAACAAAATAAATATCATTTAAGTCAAAATAGACTACTTAAACATTTATTAATTTCTGTTCATACAGACATAATTTAATTCCACATACCATTCTCCACAGAATTCATCAGAGCACCACCACAAACGCAAAAGAACTAATCATGACTGCCAACAAAATATGTAAAAAACATGTTAATGAACAACTGGCAGGGTTGGCAACCTTTTCATTACCACATATCACAATGACAGTATGTTTGTTGAGGGTTGCATAAAAAAGCATGGAAAATAAAATTGTATTTCTTTCACCTACAAGGGTATAGCAGCAATTCTCTTGGAAATGTATAACAGCTGTACATCTCTAACAAAATGAGGTAATAATGATTTCTTAATAAACATCCAATATGCCAATTCTTATAATGACATGTTTCAGCCTTATGTGACCATCTTGATATAGCAGTCATAACTTAAATGGAATCCACATAATCTTCTACACCATAACATACTCGTGCTTGTCATCATTACTATAAAACTACCTTTACATTAAAACATATAACAACATATTTAAGAGAAGGACGTCTGTGCGGTTTAAAATATAGCATTTAGTATATGGACTTCGAGATAACAACTTGGATTTCATAGTTTTGTAGATATACTTCTCCACTGTATTGAAATATTCCTGTGTAATGAATTATTCTCTGGCTACCAGCTGTGTCAAGTGGCTGAATGGAGAAAATACCAACCTTTCGAGAACCATCTTTGTCCTCATCTTCAGGGTACAGAGTACTAGTTATACTTAATCGCCGTGAAAGCTTCTGATTATACATGTTCTTGTGTGCTGTGAATTAAATAATTTCCAGGCTGCCACACAAGTGTGTCATAGGTGGATCAAATCATGACCAGTTGAGCAATTATCAGCTTCCCACAAATTACTGCTCATATGGTTATAATGTATAAAATGTGCTCCTCAGACATGAAATATTGACATCCATGACTGTTGTTAATGAAATGCAATAATTCCGAGATTGAAATGTCACTGCAAAGCTTACTATACACAAATAAGTACAAGACTGAAACAATTTTAATTCACTAATGTTCAAATGCAAGATGTTATAGCCATTCAAGGATTAAATAATTTCTGGATTAATTTCTGTGATCCTAATGCCATATTTGAGAATATGTCCGTTATCAGAGCCCAATAAAAAAATCTAAACACTTCATCAGGTTTTGAAAGACAACATTTATGACTGGCGAAGTTAGCACCACTACAGCTATTTTGTGATATGAGGTTAAATACATAAACCCTGCCATGATATCTCTTATATCTGCCACAAAATTCGCACAAATTTTCTTACAGCAGCGACAAACAAGCTGATAACACGACTCGATTACTCAGAAACGTTTATCATTAGTCAAAGGTGGTGGTCACGTTATTACGACATAAATTACAAATACACGAACCTAAAAAAGCATTCTGGCACTTACAACAATCCAATAAGGTTATACATATCGGAACAAGAAAATAGTTTAAAGAAATGTAACTTGTAAATTTACCTTGGGTGTTTTGATAAGTTCCATTCTGTAACAATTTAATTACACTGGCAACATTTTCAACACAAACTATCTAATTATTCAAAACAAATACTGCATACTCCGCAAACCATTATCACCATTTTGACAACTTCGACTTTCAGAATTCGAACATACATAATCGACTTGAAACTGTCAGAGAACATGAAACACATGGAATTTCAGAGCAATGGACTCAATGATACTCATGAGGAAGTTAGAAGAAAACTAAATACCGGAAATGCTAGCTACTATTCGGTTCAAAATATTTTGTCTTACTGTCTGATTTCTAAAAACCTTAAAATTAAAGTATACAACACAATGGGTGCGAAACATGGTTTCTCACTCCGAGGGAGGAACATATATTGCAGGTGTTTGACAATAGGGTGTTGAGGAGGATATTTGGCCCAGGAGAAAAGACGATGGGTTCTGGAGAAAACTACATAATGACGAACTTAAAAATTTATACTCCTCAGAATTGTCAGGGTGATTAAGTCAAGAGGTGTGCACCGGGTATTGGTTGGGAAGCCTGAGGGAAGAGACCGCTGAGACCTACCCGTATTTGGGAGGATAATGTCAGGCGGGATCTATGGGAGATAGGGGTTGAAGGAGACTGGATTTTGTTGGCCCAGGACAGGTTCCGGTGGAGGGCCTTGGTTAATTCGGTGATGAACCTTCGGTTTCAATTAGCCATTTAGCTAGTTAACTGTCTACCAGACGGCAGATTTGTTGACACTGGTAGCTTTGCAGGGTCGGTAACAACATAAGAACAATTAATAAATTATAGTCCTCTGGAAAGCAACCAACTCCATTGGTAACCGGTGGTAACGACGATATTGGTATCACGATCACAGAAAGTATGATTAATACCAACCTTACAGCGTCATTTCTTCCAATACGCAATCTTGCGGTTGGAATCAAAAAGTACGCGGATGTTGAGAGCTTTCTACGTAACCCGTGGTGGACACACCGGGCGCTAAATTTCCATCCAGGCGCGTCATGAAAGTGTAATCAAATATGGCTTATAGCGCAGTATCTAAGGAAAATAAGATCAGATAAGGAGTAACCAATTTCTAAGACTGAGATGGAAAGTGTGTCATATATATAAATTAAAGTACACTTTGCACGTTTATAAGAGAACGTTTTGGTAAGGTGACAAGCTACTTGAAACAGGTTATTTTTTTTAAGTTAATGTAATTTTTCAAATTATGTACAGATGGCACGATGGAGGCAGTTTCCATATGCACTTCAATATCAGTAAAATATCAATATTATTGCTACAATAAATATGTGAGTCAGGGAAATACTGTTTTCATTCAGTTTGGTTACATGAAATTTTTTAACGACTAAATAGTGTTACATAATTACAGGACTTCGTTTTTACTTTCAATTTTGTAGGTTATTAATGTACGTCTTACAAATTTCACCACATTTAACCAGCGTTTAATAAAGAGTGTAATTTTTTTAAACATTTTCACAGTCACAATGTCCGAACAGGCACCACATAAATCCTTCAGTGAAACAGATTTGAAGGATTTGAAGGAGCGAATGAAACTTATAGCTGATGCTGATCCTAACCAATATCACAATGAGCTCTCTCTTAAAAGATTTCTAAGAGCATTTAAAACGACTGATGCAGCATTTCAGGTATTTTTATAAATTGATTTTAAACATGAGCACTTGAGTGTATAACTTGAAATTAACAATTTATGTTTTTCAAGGCAATATTGAAAACAAACAAGTGGAGAAATGAATATAATGTGGCATCTCTAACTGAAGACAATCCTGTTGTTAAGAAACACATGGAAACCAATAAAGCCAGGGTTTTAAGACATCGAGACATCGTGGGAAGACCTGTTATCTACATTCCAGCCAAAAATCACAATGTTAATGACAGGGATATTGATGACCTAACAAAGTTCATAGTCTACTGTCTAGTAAGTTGGAAGTATGCAGAATACAAAACTGAATTTGAAAATTGTCTGTATCCTGTTGAGTGATACTTGTATGTCTAACGCACACTAAGTGTTTGTTCAAGTTGTAGTTTTTCTATCCACGATCCTCAGCAGTCAATATTTATTGACTTATGTTTCTGTATCATAGGAAGAAGCCTGCAAGAAATGTTTTGAAGAGGTTGTGGACAACTTATGCATAGTGTTTGATTTGAAAGAATTTGGATTGAGTTGTATGGATTACCAAGTGATAAAGAATTTAATCTGGCTGTTAAGTCGACACTATCCAGAACGGCTGGGCATATGCCTTGTACTGAATGCCCCTGCTTTATTTTCAGGTTGTTGGGGTATTATCAGAGGATGGTGTGTATTATTTCTCATTCATAGTTCAGAAGTAATTTAAGTCTGTTGAGAGTTTGAATAATTTATATTCATTATATTCTGGTAAAGCAAACATCCGTCTATAGCAAGTTACTTTGGTATACCATGAAAGGGTTAAATGTAAATAAATTGATCAAAATTAGCATTTAGTATCAATGTTATGGATGTTAATGTTGTGATGCTCTTTCTTTAACAGGTTGGATGAGAACACATCAGGCAAAGTTATGTTCATTAATAGTGAAGAAGAATTGTGCAAGTATCTTATACCTGACATTTTACCAGATGACATTTAGAATTTGTAATATACAGTCTCATAACACCTCATCATTTTATGTTGGATTGTAATGTGCATGAAGTATGGATTTGTTCATTGCATTTGTTGGACTTTGAAATATGCTGTGTGCATCTTGACAACACTCTTACTGGAAATGGTTGGATCAAGTTTGAGTCATTACATGTTCAAAGTAGAATTATTAGAAAACAACCATGTTCTTCAAATGACAATGAAAATTGATCTCTGAAAATTATTTTCGTTGTATGACTTTAAGTGCATTGAAGAAAATTGTCAGTACTTCACACCTGATCTTACATATCTGATGTTAATAAATGATGAATTGTTGATTCTGTTGCAATTAAGAATGGAAATATAAGCATTATATTGAATCAGTGATGAGTAATGAACAAAAACATGAGAAAAGAGACAGACTTATAGTCTGTATGAAATATATATAAATAAATATATACTGAAAGTTAATAATTTAAATATATATAAAAAACAAATAGTACATAGTGTAATTGCTTCATTTAACTGTTACATAGTCAATGAAAATTAAGAGAATCTTATGTTCATCACAAATTAAGTGGTACCAAATATGAAAATATAATTGTGTTGAATACAAGGAAGCCACAAGTTTATGTAAAAACAAACTAGGATAATTGGTTATTTTCCTAATTCAGATTTGAAATCAAGGATTTTTTTTATTCTAAGAATAAAATATCTAAAAATTACTATGTTGTTCTTCAATGCCATGAGAACCTCAAATCTATTTAAAAAATTTATGGATGCCATGTATGCTCTCTGAAACAGTTTATAATGATCAGTAGTAATGCTGTACAGACTTATTAAACACTTAAAAATAATAGACTGTAATTAAAAAGTGTTTACATTATTTGTATTTCTGTTGAGATCAGGCCTGCACAACATGCAGCCCACAGAAAGATTTTCTCTGGCCCAGGGGTGATCAGTTCAACTGCGCCTGGGTCCCTGAAAAACCATCTTTCAAAACTAGTTATTTTATTTTACATTAATGCACCAATATTTAAATTTAATTAATTCAGTAATTAATGACATTTCTGTATTTATTTATACATAATGCATAACATTCACATATTTTTAACTAATGTAATTATCATACAGGAAATATGAGGCTGTGGAGGCCAGATTTAGATGATTCTCTGAAATGTCCGTCATATAAAACTGTCTTGCTACTGATGATGCCTTGCGATGAGAAAAGGTACCAAAGATAAATAAAAAACATATTGTGAAATGTATTTTTGTGGAGAACTTTGTCTTGTTCAATGTTTAAAAATGAATGACTGTATAACTGTGTTACTTAAGTGCTGCATAGAAATGTATTACAAAGTCTTTACTGAAAGTTATGTTTATAAAAAGTACACATATGTATGGAAGCAGTGTTTGGAATCATGTAGCATGGTAGCTGCTAATTCCATAATGTCTTTTTTTTTGCATTTATATTTTGACATTGCATTTTGATTCTGTATGTGAACTAGTACAAAACAGTGACAACATTTTAGGTGCTTTTATTTGTTGTTGTTGTTGTAAGAATGTGATATACTGGCAGACTATATTGTTCCTTATGTTGTGTTTCAATGTGTACAATGCAATTTTAATAATTAAAACACTATGTGTTACTGATTTTATGTGTTCTTATTTCTGTCTTTTGTGGTTTGGTTTCATGAGGAACTGAGGCTAATCCTTAAATGATAAAGCAGGTCTCACTCCACTATATCAGTTGTACACTGTAGTTTTCTATTTAAAGGATCACAAAACTCTTAGAACAGGCGTGACCCCATCCTATGTTTAGTTCTTTATCATGTATGAACAGAGAATTTATATCGCCATGCTACAGGGCTCCCAGCCTGACTTCAACACCAGGGTTAAAGGATTAAGGATACAGATAATGATAAAGACAATTTTACAAACAAATTCACAATATTATTAAAAATGGATAGTTTTTACACTTTCTTCACATCAATCAATGCTTATCAGCATAATTCATATATGCATTCAGTTCGTTCCTTTGAAGTAATTTACTGCCAACAAATTACTTAATCCCCTTAATCTTCAGAGTGTGTGTTAATGATTTTAATACCTATAGTCTGTTGGCTTGATCTTTTTGTCATTCCTTGTCTAACTAGTATCACAGATACACACACAAGGGCCTGGCCTACATAGGAACATCATTCTGTCCACACATTTACAAGATTTATGTTTAACTTAACAAGCCCAACTATAACTTACATCATAAAACAATTTGATCAAATTAAATTACTTTTATAGATGAGCATTAACATATTCCAACAGACAGATGATGACATATTGTAACACAAACAGGAAAACAGTTAAAAATTTCAGAATATGTAAAGCCCCTATTCTCAAAGTAATCTGTTTCCATTTTTTGTTGTTTATAACTTGTTTATAACTATAATTTTGTGAGCAAATAAATAGTAGTTATTTAAAATACTGAACTTGATAATGAACTGCAGACACTTGAATTTGAAGATGTACCATAACCCAAACTGCCAAATGTCGTGTGTAGGATTTGTTATTTTAAGAATTATTATGTAGTTTTTAAATGAGTAACATCCCACCCAGTGCTTCAAGTGAGTAAAAATCACAAGTGGGACGATCTGTGAAACATGACTTTTTTTTTTTTCCCCTACATATTATTTTAATGTAACAATAGTGTACCAGCCTGTTCCTTCCAATTTTCTTCTCACAGTTCTCTATTAAAAATGTTGCCATCATGATGATAAATATGCTACTTAAAGTGAGTAGGAATGATAGATACTTGATGGATTGTGCAATCTCTTTGCATCAATGCTAACTTCAGATGAATCTGCCATTTATAATGTTGCACAAAGAAAAATATCAAAAGTATACAATTTGTTGGCATGTTTCTAGGCATTCTGTAGAAAATACTAGAGTAATTTTGAGCCAACTTAAAGGCAGTGAAATCCCTACACTCCCACTTCCAGCACTAGCATATCACCTCTCTCTCTCCTGTACACATGCCTATCATCTACTACATGGTTTTCTAAATGAGCATCTATACAAAATGGGGGTCATAAGAATCATGGATGAACTTCTGGGCTGATTATATATAACAGTAAAAGTAGGACAGAAAACAATGCCATACTGAATAGAAGAAATAAACACAGCAGATAATGAACTACAAATCACATGGAAGACGATGGATAGAGGATGTACATGACAATTAGCACAATTCAAGGGTGGTGGCATATAAACAAATCACTTAAATTGGACAATTATTAATTGTTAATTCCTGCTAGCCTCTCTAAATAAATAGAGGCAATGAAAGGAATGTTTCATTTTCTTTCTAGAACTTATATGTGTTTATCCTATAAAAGGAATGGTATAAAATGGTAATGCTGTATTTTTAAATTTACAGAACCACATTAAAATTACAAGTGTGGCTTCAATATTTTGTAGTGAGTGATGTCATAAACGAAAATTATTTAAAAAGAACCATCTTTATTTTCATTGTGATAGTGAATATATTACTTGTATACGATTACACCTAAAAACTACTGTCGACAGGGAATGCAGACTGTTAGGAAAATAATGAATACAGATACAGAAAGGAGGTAAAGATGAATTTGCCTTGTCTTGCTTCTAGATACTACTCTAGTATTTGCCTGCAGAGTCTTGGAAAGACATGAACAAGGTTGGAAAATGTGCATCTACATTTACAATGTCCAACTTTTGTATTTAATATAATTACTTCTGATATATGAAGTTATGTGAACACTGTATATACCAGAAAATATTGTCATCAAGGGCTTCAGTCTAAACATTTTTCAATAGCCAACATTTAGTACCATAATACAGCTAACATTTACTTACAAGCAAAGTGTAATTCAAGTTCATCAGCCAGGAAAAAATTACATATGATCAATAACAGTGCCAAGGGCTATATGAAACTTAATCAAAATCCATTTGCAACAGTTGTTATATACAGACAGACAGGACAACAAAATGAAACTAATGGATGCTCATGTAATGTTAACTCATTAGCATACTTCTTATGGCTATGAAGGTGATTCTCTGATTTACCCTATTGGATTCAAAATACTGCAGTAAATTAGGTTAACTTACATAAATTTACGTAGAAAAGAGTTTTTCAAAGTGTTGCTTTAAAACTACAAAAGCTAATTCTATTACAGATTTAATCTGTGTTTGGAAGTTCCTCTTACCAGCTAAGAATCATTACTATCTGCTATATCTAATGGATTCATCTCTTATATGACAGTAATAAGATTTAATTCTGTCTCTCCTTAATTTAGAATGACAGCAATGAGAATTAATCCTGTCACAACAGTGGCAATATGTCTCATCATAATTATAAATTACAGTATAAAGGATGGCAAATCACAGTAAAACTCTTATACCATAAATTCCTACAAAGAAAATCATAGCATCAGATTAGTGTAACAGTAGCACTATATGTATACTTATAACAGGGATACACACAAACAATCTCGGTGTGGTTACAGCCTAACCTGACAAATTTTTCATGGTTTTTCTCTCTCCAAGTAAATGCAATGATAATACCAGTACTTTTAAATAGACCATGACTTATCTGCTTACTGACAAGGAAATCATGGGTCCTTGCAAGTTACAATATTACAGATTTACAACAGACTATGATATCAAAATAAATAATTCCTGAATAACAAAGTCCAAGAACTTAGCAGAATTTGGATGCAGACAACCAACATCTGACATCTTTAAGAATTGAAAGGTGTGATGCTAAAAGACCGAGGCTTAAAAATTAGATTTTGTTCCCTTTTGGTAACCATATCATTCAGTAAACCACGTCAGACACTTGGTATAAACACAATGTGAACCCAGCCATTTATAATGTTCATAAATGCAATTTCACAAAAAATTACACAAGTTATTCGGTTTTCATTTGTTTCTCACTAGGTCGTAATGACTGAGCTATATATATAAACATACACGCACATATAACCAAACCCTTAAATGTCTATCTTGACATTTTAAACTGGAAATGGACCAATTTATGGTGACTAAAACCTGAACATACATACATTAATCATGCCACTGTGAATGTTTCTGTTTTATCAAACATACATAAATTTCCTGTCATTGAGCGTGGTATAATTATTCATGGATGCTTCCTCTCAGAAATAGATTTCTTCAACTTACAAAGCAGAAAGAGGTTAGTAAAGTCAGCAAGACTCTACCTGGATATTTTTGCCACATACATATAATTCAAATAAATTATGGTAGCACTTCAAGCACAGTTAAAGAGGTAAATAAAATAGGCAATACATTATTTAAAATGTTGACAAACTTGCTATTACAGTATAATAGTTGGGTGCAAAAATACAATAAAATAACTCATTACAAAATGGGCCAAACAATATATATAATTTTAAGATATAAATAAGTCTTCAAAAGATTCACTTTTACAAAGATGTATACTTACAGCTTTCGATTCACTCATATTATATGAACTTTAGCCAAACAGAGCTTGTTTTACCAGAGATCTATATTACTTTGCCCACTATGAACATACTGATTTCCAATGATAACCAAATAAAAGATTTTCTTCAGACTATCTGGATAAAGTGATAAGGATGTTCCTTCAACACAATAGTTAAGAAAAGTCTAAAAAGAACTGAGTGTACAATTTAAACCATCTTAAAGACAAACAAATATTAATGGTTCTACTTACAAAAGTGAGTGGCCTGTATTGTGACAATGAAGATTCATTCAGTAGCTGACTGATGACCAACAATAACAATCATTCTTCTCACCCTGTATATAATACTGGGATACTGGATACTGGAAACGACCCGTTCTTCAAGTGCCTGAGCACTGCGGGTCCCAACTTTTCGCCGGCTTGATCTATAGATATTCGGTAGGACTCCTTGGACGAGGGATCGGCCCGTCGCAAGGCCTCTACCTGTACACAGGACAGCACAACACAGAAAAAGGCGGACAAACATCCATGGCTTGAGTGGGATTCGAACCCACGGTCCCAGCGACCGCGTGGCCACTGCGGACCCCGTATATAATAATACAGAGTAAATTACCAAACTTAGTAAAGTAACAATAATGCTTCATCTCCTCTGTTCTCAGTTACTAACAGTGTTATTAATTCATTCTCCTTGTTTGTAGAATACATACAAAGCAGGATTATGGAAAATATATGAAAGAAGACATATGAAGAACACCTTGCAAGCTTACAATCTTGGTCGCACATATAAAAATTTCCATTTTATTGCAATGTTCATGGAAATTTGACTGTAGAGCTGCTGTATACTTTTATTCATGTAAACATTTCATACTGATTAAATTACTTCCAATGATAGTGGAAGAATTAAGATACAGATGCCATTTGACAACATCCAGGGAATGGTATTCTAGTTGGCAAACAGAAATACTGTAATCCTCCAGTGATAACAGGTTTATGGCTGTGAATACATTTCTGGGTGAGAAAAATCAATGGTCTTTTTGTGGAAGAAGAAAATTATTTAAAAACTGAAAACATTTTAGGCAAAGTATGCCCATTACAATGTACACAGCACATAAGCAGTTCTATGTTCAGTGTTCCACAGGAAAATATTTTATTGCATAATAGCAAAGCAGATGAATGTCCTGCAAAGTGTGCTATCACAATGCTCCATGTTTGCCATATTCATCAATGAACAGACATGTCTTTCAAGCAGATAAACTTAGATATAATTGATGAATTTGTTATTAACCCTTCTAGGTCTTCTTCATGCACATGACCAGCCACATGCCAAGTTTTGTGTGTGTCAAAGAACAGAGCAGTTCATCAATAACAGTGGTAGCAGCAGAGTGCTGCCACATTGGGTTCATACATTATGTGCTTTCAGTCTGCCAGGGCTAGTTGAAATAATCCCATTACTGTGGACAGGTACAGGCAGACAATAGAATCGGTTCACAGACTCCAATCTTCGTTTGAGTCCTTCAACTTTTGTTTCTGAGATTACAAAAATTCAATTCAAACATGCCTTAAAAAAGGTGGTGCGTGATACTGAAAAATGCTGTAAAATAACAGTAACAATAAAATAAATTGAAGATGGTTGTCTTCCAAGTTTACCAAACTTCTACCACATTACACAGCACAACAGGCCAGAAGACAGCCATCTTGAGACTCACCACCATGAAAACCTCATATCCTACCCAATAAAATAAAGTGTTTTATCTTGAGTTCCAGACTTTTCAGTAGAATGCTGCCCAATTTATTCAGGCAAAAAGTGCACTGGTACTGATGCTAAAACTCAAAAAATCCTAGTTATCAGTAATCATTCACATTGATTTTACTGTTCATCAACAAGAAGTATAATCACATGAAACTGCTGGTCATGGACATGGGATTGTAAAAACAACAGAAAATAATATGCAGTACCTGTATTAAATAAATCTTTCTGTGTCCTCGAAACAAGAAACTTATGACCTGGAAATACTTTTGCTGATAATAACATAACCATAACCTTGTTTTATAAAAAGAGGTCTCTTAAAAGTGACATGTCACTGTAACAGGAATGTTATAGGATGCCTACAAAGCCATAGCAAGGGCAGTGCAATAATCGATGAGAGAAGAACTAGAGTAGTTTGCTCGCACACTCTTAACATAAGAGTACTATCTTGTAAGTGCAGCTTAACATACCAAAGCTCAAGCAGGATAACATAATGAAACAAGTGATAAATTTACAGATACCCTGGTTAAGAAATCTACATAACTAGTTACATCTCATTTTTACATTACAGCACTTTCTGTACAAATGTTCAGAAACATATGTATGGATGTGTGGCAGAGGGTTGTCCAGTTCTTAATTTTCACCATGAGCACAATATTGTTCACATACAGCTATGAATGCCCATTGCATGCTTTCATAGACCTAAGCTAAAGACATATGAAAACATGTATGAGATCCGAGGATCTGTCAGTCGTGAACATGTTGATGTTGGTCTTCTGGGTATTAACCATGTGGACTTGTAGCTACAAGTCTGCAGGGCATTACTATCCAGATGAACAACCAACAACATATCCAAGAAACATGTCTACACATTCTTAACCCATACCTCCCTTCCAACCCCCTCTCAAGGGACCTTTAAGCAAAACTGTAATTTCTTTCACACATTAAACAAAATTAAATTAAATTGAAATAAATATGAAATCAAGGATTAATAAGGATCCTTTAGGTGGATTAAAATTGATTTCACATTCTACAGTTCATTTAAAATTCTGGTATTGTTGTATAAACATAGTAATACAGTATTTATCACAAATCAACGGCAGTTATTGAGCTAAATTTTATGACAGTAATACTACTTTAATCGGACTTTCTTATCTATCACTAAGGCTGTATTACAAACATCTGTAGATATGGTGTAGTTGTATATACAACTACTTTCAGTTATACAAAACAGAGTTCAATTCTAGCATGTTACATTATGCCATACTGCTAAGTACTCTAATACTGAATTGGCTGCCTTGGTTGGCACAGATTATACAAATCACCAACATCAACTTCAGGTTCCTACACAGAACAATTGTGCTTCATAAACATATTGTCATTTATAAGAAACCGAGTGGTTAACATATGTTCTGATGAAACTACCTAGTTTAAGAAATTTCCTGTAGAAGAACGTGATGAGAAAACAGCACTGTGAAATTCTTCACTGTCAATGCCCAAGATGTTTCAGTCATGGTGCAATGGGTTGGTATAGGTCCTTTTACAACACAGAAACAAACAGTAACAGTTCCAACCCACATTAAACACCACTGTTTGTACACACTTCATTGCTGTACCATATCATAAAATGGTAAGGAGACAAAATGCCACACATAAACTCCTCATTTTAAGAAGGTGATGAGTTTCTTGAAAGCTGTTCATTAAGCAAAACTTTATAAACAAAAATTAATTTCCTCTTCATTAAAGGCAATGATATTAGACATAACAGTACAAGGAGTATATCTATATTACACATACATGTAATTTTAAAACAGTAATATTTGACACTGAGTGATGGTGGATGAATTCATTTATATGTATACGTTAAAGCCTGAGGTTCTGAGAAAACCTCAGAGTCCCTGTCAAATGGTGAATTTTTATCTCAGTAAAAATTCACTGTAAATATCAGAAAAGAAATTGATTTTTGAAATATGAAAATATAATCAAACGTTTACAAAATGAGGACTTGGTGTACTTTTATAGCAGGGACTGACAGAACTCTGAATAAGTCTTTCATAATGATATGTTTTGTAGCCTAGATGCTGGCATGTGTGTGAATAGAATACTGTCTAATGATCATGGCACTATATAAACTTGAACCATTACTGCACTAATCAAAGAATTTTATTCATTCCCATTAGACAGAATCAGAGGAAAGCAATCAGAAATGGTACACATTTTCACTCCTTTATGTCTGAAGTGCCCTTTCATTTAAGCATAAACAGAGAAAACTTTATGTTTCTGAGTATTCAATTTTGGAAAATGCCTGCATCTTGAAACTTGACATTAAAAAAGATGATTTTGTGTTATTGTAATACTTTCTGATTTGTAAATACAGATATTAGGTCACCAATTTCTTCACAAGTTGACTCTATCAGCAATATTAAAAATAAGGGTGAAACAAGCAACACAATATAATACTAAAATTGAAGATGATTTGCTTTTAGTCTCTTAATTTCTATCTTCCGAATATTAACTTTTGAACCACCTGGTAAATTTCCATGACAAATTTCATGTGGATCTTACCACTGTAAATCATATATTTTTATTCTTTGCAACTAACATGGCAATTGAGGGCAACAATATCAATGCTCACTATCGGATCCTGTAATTTTGTATGCTCAGAATTCTTCTGTGCAGTGTACACAAACAATGGAAGCTACATGAAATCCATATGAGACTTGAGGTTTCCACAGTGGTAGAACTATAGATTATGTTCTGGTTTATGATCTTGTGTGGTCCTGTAGATGGATAACAATGTATCACAGGAACATATTACTTCCAGATTATGATCTTCCCTTGTTCCCCTGACATATGACACAACTAAACATAATTCTTTCCTACTGAACCTGAGACACTAGAGAACCTAACAACTGAATATACCATACACATCTTATACCACATACCAATTGGGATGAGATACATACATGTGCTGCTATGCAATCTGATTAAGAAACTTCAATCAATTGCTAACACTGCAATTAAATAATCTTAGAAAAAACATGGGCATAGTAAGCATATAAAAATCTGTAACTTAACAGTCAATTATCTTTCAGTCACACAATATATTTCATCAACTTCAACTTTTATAATTTTAAGCTTAAACAATTATGCAAAACTTATAATACTGTGTTCACTTTATTGTATTACACACACTTAGTTTCCTTCTTGCACTACAGAAATCTGCTAGATAAATCTTGCTATTTCTCATTCATGCTAAACATTATGCAACACAATAAGGATCAAAATGAAGTGCAGATAAAGAATATCTTAATATATCAATTTATAGGATTACAAAAATGAGAACTACAAACTAGATTAAATCCACTTTTTATTGGAAAATGTGTGGTTTGTCATCTGATAAAAGGAAAGTTAATCAGTGAAATACAGAATTAACAGAAACAAGAGTGTGTTACAAAAAAGTCAAAACAGTAATATGCTTAACAATTTAATATACTTATGTCTGCTTAGATGTCTGTAATTAAAATTATATCAACAGATTTCTAAAGTAATAAAATCTTGACATACTCTTTGACCAAACATTTTTAAGGAATGCTCTAGTATACAAAAAATTTTATTCCTCACAGCCATTTTGACAGTTGTACATTTTACTGTACTACTTAAACCAAACATTCACTACCTGTACGGCACACGGACAGCCAGTGTTATCCATTTTCCCAAACTGTATTGACAGTAACATTTCTCTGTCCAGTGACTAGTAGATGTAGGCACGATTAACATCAGTTTTCATAATGTTGCTAATTAAATGTCACATTAGAACTGGTTCTAAGGACAACTCAATTTATTCATTCAGGAAACATATCAGATTATAAACTTATAAACTGATAGAGCTTCTCCTATGCTTATAAAAGGCCAGTGTTCAAAGGAGCAATCAGTCTTAAGCATATTTTTAATAAACTTGCTGTCCAGTGTTAAAAAAGGGGTGGGGGATAGAGAGGTGTCCCACTATATGCCATACAGATGCTTGGGAGAGGGGGGAGAAGGTAAAGCTCCTACTCACCTTGACCTCAGCACTTGATGAGGGTGAGTGTTCAGCATCATGCCCCGGCTGCTCTTTAACCCTGCGAAAGGACCCTGGTACCCATTGGATAGGAGGCTGAGTGGGCCCCAGAACTGGTCTGGATGCAGAGGCTAGAGGAAAAATCCTCTGCACCTATCGGGGTTCAAACACCAGTCATCCAGTCCATAGTCAGTCACTATACTGACTGAGCTACGCTGGCTCTCCACTTGCTGTCCAGTGCAATGTGTAACCTTTGTATCCAAATTATGATTCTCTCAAAAGAAGTTTTTCATAGATTTACTAATAGTGAAATTGAACAGATAATGCTTTTGAAACAAGTCTGATTTTAGAAATAAATTGTAGTTGTAATGGATACACCATGAAAGTTTTTAAGACTGAAATTGTGTGGGGGAGGAATTGGTAAAGTACATATTTATAGAAGTGGGGTTGGAACCCATAAAACTAAAAGTATCATATATGTGAAAAAGTCATAATAATGACTAGACTAAAAAGACTTTGCTGTAGTTTGAAAACTGTGACCTTTCATATTTCTTAAGCTGTAATGATAAATCCATGTAAAAATATCATCCTCATGAATTAATTTTTTAAATGATGACAACAGAAGCTTTCGTACCAGAGTGACATGTCTCATGAATGATACTAGTACAGGAAATTTTAACATTTCTAAGGTACTATATAATCAACTGTCTCTTGTAACCAGAATGTGCTACATCATAATAATAAAAAAACCTTCTCCTGAATATAAAACCAGAGAAACAGACATGGTATGTCCAGCAAAAACATGAAAACATGCAGGCCAGTACATTTAACATTGCACATCTCAATACTGCTGACATACAAATCCAAGCTTACTCCAAAGACTTACAAAACAGAATGATTATCTGGATGCCCTCACTTGCGTCTTGTGGCCTGAATGGCACGGCAAATCTCAATCCAGGGAGGTCCACTGCTATAGGAGGCACAGAAAATGCATGCCTCTGGAGAAGTAGCAGCAAGAGTAGGAGAAGGAGGTCCTGGAGGGTTAGGATTGCAATTTGGAGAAGGGTTTGGTGATACTGTTGAGGATAGGGTGCAGTGGATAAGGGAGAGTCAATCAGCCAGTAAACCCTGTGATACACTGATGAGCTGTTCTTTGAGCATACGAAATGATGGGCGGTCCTCAGGACAATGACTCCAGCATTTTCTCATCACCTGAAACATGTAACATGTGTGCATGCACACACACATAACCAGTGTTCATATTTTTCATATTGTTATGTTTTATATTCATACAATATTTTTGTAATATGAATTACTCTTCACAGAAAAAATTAAACAGACTACACTATATGTTCAAATTTTGCATCAAAATCCTTTGGTGTGAAACAAAAGAGACTTCCACAACATTAGATAATTCATGGATGATGAGATACCTGTTTACAGTAATAAGATACCTAATTCATATCACATTTCCAACCATTCTGCTCATGGATAATGACCTAAATACACAGCAACCCAAAGAGAAGTCATTCCATTTTCAAACTTCAGAACACACTCAAATGTTTGAGTTACGCTCATTGTTTCCTCTTAACACCAATGTCACAGGTTTCCACTGCAGGTGGTCCTAGCTGGAACATGCATCTGTTCTGTTACTTTAAGTCTGTAATTTTCGTAATAAGGACCACAGATACCATTATACAACCGATGTTACTCCATGATGTGCCCCTTCTGAATGAAACATCCTAACTAACTACATGGCTTACCGAACCCGAAGGTTCATCACCGAATTAACCAAAGCCCTCCACCGGTCCCTGTCCTGGGCCAACAAAATCCAGTCTCCTTCAACTCCTATCTCCCATAGATCCCGCCTGACATTATCCTCCCATCTACGTCTAGGTCGCCCCAGTGGTCTCTTCCCCTCAGGCTTCCCGGAATGAAACATCCTACAGTTTTTAAAATTAATGGAAAATAATTTATAGTATTCTACTATCACATAGCAGAGAAACTCTGTACTAACAACAGTAGTGTTACCTTACATACACTTCAAAGAATATTTAATCGTACCCACATACACTTTATGAGAATCTCATACTGAGATGAAGGCAAAAGTAACTGATGTTCATAAAATATACAGTCAAGAGAAATACACAAAACAATTTTTAATATGGGAGGAGACTTACATCCATGCAAAACTGCTCACCTCATAAACTTCCTTGAAACAAGCCTTAGGCCTCTCTAGAACAATGCCTCTCTGAACCCGTTCCACCACCTCAGTGTTCTTCAGTCTTCCATATGGCATCTTCCCACATGTGAACACTTCCCACATGAGCACACCTGAACACAATAATCAATAGTCTGAAAGGCTGCTATATAATCCTTATAAGCTCTTATGGGACCTCTTGAAAATATTGAGAAACAGATTTTCATACACAGGAGTGAATTATTAATTACCTACCTTCACAAAATGCACTAATACCAAGTTTTTGATGTATCTTTATTCAATACACAAAAATAATATTGATTGAAGTACTTCACTCTAATGCAAGTATTCACCTAAATACATTGATATTTTATATAAATCATTTTAATACCCGACTACTATTATAATTTAAATAACAGTCTGTGGTAAGCTATGAACTGACTGACTATTGTATATCTCACATTAACAATAGCAAAGCAGCATAAAAGACTCTTAATATCTAAGCAAGATTTAAGGTTTATATGGCAATGTGTCTGAAGATGGCTGTCTTCTGGGTTGTAGACCCATGTAGTCTGGTAGAAGTTAACCAATGTTTCAGAGGTCCTGCCTCCATTATCAGGCACTCACTGCACTGATGGTGGAGGCAGCAAGGACCTCTGAAACATTGGTAAACTTCTACCAGCCTACACCATAGTACTACAACCCAGAAGGCAGTCATCTTCTTAATATCTAATTAAGCGTATGTTGCTGAGCCATGTACTGTACAGGCCCATCATTGGTCTAAAGCCTCATAATTGCATGGGGCTACAATCAAGACCAATAAACAACACATTTTCTTCATATCATAACTCTGGCAGTGAGACTATGGAGCAGAACAGTAGAGAACAAAACAGAATGGTTTAAATTTCAGGATTTGTGTTGGAAATGTGGCAAATGGATAAGCTTTTCTCAGGGTACTTCAGTTTCCCTCCATCAATAACCATCCTACCAATACTTTTTACATTCAATGCACCTGCTGTGTGATAAGCCTGATCAGCCAGCATACTATTAATCTTGGTTCTCAGCTAGGAGCTTCAACTCTTACCTGGAATTTCACTAGCCTCATGAATTATTGGAACAGTGAATATAATCTTCAGTTCAGTTTGTTCTCATCACAGCTTAAAAAAATTAAATCCGTGGCATAACAGCTCCAGAGAGCCAGAGCCAACTAGCTTGACTGCTGGCCTCATGTTCACATGCCTAAGCAGAGGTGAATGATCATCCAACCAGATATAGGTGACATGCAGTCAGCATGATAAACCCCCAGCCATTGCTAGCTTTCCTGACCAGATTACGCTACTTATTGTAGCTCCCCAATTTCCTCATGATGCTGGGTTGGCACCGGTCCCATACACTGGTCGAAAGCTCATGAGAAAATTTCTTCTCCCCTGAGACTCGAACCAGCGCGCATTCCGTATCGCCGGTCCGAAGCATGATTCCTCAGACAGCGCGGCTACGGCGCGAGACTCTCATCACAGCTTACAGATTATTTTAATAGTACTGATAATACAAATGACAAGGGAATTGGAGGATTTATAAAAATCTGCCCCAGCCCTGTTTTGTGCATTGATCTGCACACAATTCAATTCAATTCTGCGGACTGGTCAGAAACTGAAACCAGTATCATTAGTTGGAAATATGTACAGTATCACTAAGAATTGCCTGTCCATGCAGAATCCAGGTGTAAGTTCTTACCATAAGCCCAAACATCGGACTTGGAGGAGAAGCGTGTATAGTTTAGGACTTCAGGTGGAGCCCATTTGATAGGAAATTTTGTTCCTCCAGAACTTGTGTACTGGTCATCCAACACATACCTAAAACATGCATAGGATTTAACACATCAGTAATAGAAAGGCAAAATGTCCTGTACCCGTGCTACTTGCACTAGCTGATGGAAGAGTAGGAAACAAATTTTTGCACTAATCCAGATTTGAAAGGTTTTAGTTAAATTACTTCTTTATACATGTCTGTAGTTGATGGTTCTATAGAAAACTAAGATGAAAAACAAAAAAATATCTCAGAAAGTTGAAGAAAGCAATGGAATTGGAAATTTGAAAGCAACAAAAGCTGCTTCACCCTTCTGAAAATTATGGCAGCTAGATCTGGTTTATCTATACAGAGGATAATGTTTGGCCAGATACAGCTGTCTCAAGCATTACTAGACAATGTTTCAAGATGAGCATTAAAGTTTCAACAAACTGCTAAATACACACCATGTTGTAGTATTAATTTAAAAATTATGCATTGTTGTTTGCACCGTTACACAGTAGGCGACTGGTGTTCCTATGGAGACACCAAGTTGTCTGTGTGTTGTTAAGGTGTTCAGATTTATAATTTAAAGACCACAATTTGAAAATACTTCTGTGAAAATCAGCCTCAATAACATCCGACCTTGTCTTCTTCTGCATTCAAAGGCTACTCATTGTTTACTTTCATATTATTAATAAATATCTCAGGAAAATGTAATTACAAAGCTTAAAACGTTTTCAATCACATTATTACCACCCAATTTTCAATATGGTAGAAAATGTTAGTAATATGTTACAATATAATATGCATGTGAACTTTGGATTTGTTTGAACTCCATGAAGCAGTCTTTTTGAGAAGTTGACAGTTATTCAAGAAATTCCCTTCCTCTTATTTAAGTTAAACATTTATTACTTTGCTCACAACAGTCAACTACTGGACACTATACTAACAGATCTATATTTCTTATAACACACACTTATGACACAAAATATGACCAACCTCGCAAGCCCAAAATCAGCAACTTTCACAATATTTTCTGAGCCAACCAAGCAATTACGAGCCGCCAAGTCTCGATGAATGTAGTTATGCCTCTCCAAGTATGCCATTCCTTTACAAATCTGTGGATAACAAACAATTCAGGTACAGCCACTGTTAACAATCACTTTCATCTGAAATGGCTCCTCAGAATCTATATGAGTCAAGCGAATCATTAAACATAGGATAACATGTAATATGAGACCAGTGCAGTGCCGTGAAATATAAACAAATAACTTGGCTAGTAACTTTAACACACTGTGTCCTAATACTGAGCACAATTCCTCACACAGTGAAAGGCCAAATAGCTACCTCAAAACTCTGACTCATAGTCTGTATAAAAAAACCCACTGGGCTAATGATTTATTGCACACTTACATCCCTCCACACCCAAAATTTCGTGCTGCATAATGACAGTTAAACAGCATAAGGATTTTCAACAATCCATATTCATAAACTCGGTGTTTTCCTCCGGGGTTTTCCCGGTTTCTCCATGGCATCCCAACAATTACTCCACTTTCATCATCATCTCGCAAAAAGGGGGTCACAGCAGGAGCGTTAAATGTCACGGTCCCGATCGAACCCATGTACTGATGGGTCGTGAATCCTGCTAACCACCAATGCCCACCATGCTGAATGGTGTGTACTGGACATGAAAAAAGATCATAAACTGTGTGTACTGGCATGATCATGAAGGTGATCCACCACTTTCTGACAAGCTTTGAGGTAGTACATGACTTTGTGAGAACTCATTCTTGTGCGTATTTATAAATAATTATCTGAATGCACTTTCTGTAACTTTCCTTCCTTGCGAATAATTGAACTATGTACACTTATCGTTGAATCATACATCTCACTGCAAGAATAATGGAATTCAGAAAGAAGAAAGGAAAAAAACTCAGGAAGCAGAATCTTCATTTACTACCCTACACAACACTACGCTGTTGACTGTGGCACAATGTCATATTGGAGAGCTATACAGTAAGCATAGCCATAACATCTGCTGTGTTCATGACGTTGCAAAGTGTCCTTAGAACGATCTCACAGTTTACCACCAATATATAACCACTTGTGACATGACTGTTATTCCAACATGACCCTCACCTGTATACACATATCAAGCAGCATGTCAACATTTCGTTCCAGTGTAGTTTCATGTCGACGAAGATAGTTCAATAAAGATCCATGGCGCATGTATTCAGTCACAATATAAATAGGTCTATGTTTACTGCACACTCCATACAGCTGGACTAGGTTCTGGTGTTGAAGTTTACTGTAATATTACATACACCACATAAAATTTAGAATTTAGCAAAAAAAATTCACATCTGAAAATGGCATATCTACCATGAACACGCAACAAGTTCTCTAACATTACTCCAAGTACTTGGCAAATCTGCAATAAAAACAGCATGAAAATTGCTCTAAGTGATACTGAATACAGTATATACAAATAACACATTTTTATTTTATTCATCTTTTGTTTACTTTAAAATCCACTCTATTCTGTTTATGCTAGACAGGGATTGCCGACCTTTCTCGAATGATGGAAAACTAACTACAAAGAGCTTATGATTTACACCTGGCCCCATGTGAACCTACAAAAAAAGATGAGAACTGAAATAATCATGTGATGACTTTTATATGATGTCAAGCTTTCATTGTGACAAAACTCAATAAAATCCCTTTAGGCCATCAGACATAGCTGATAGCATAAGAGTATTTTATTGAGATTATGAAACTGTTCTAGCATCTGATATATCAACTGCCTACAGAGGAAATATTGTATTTGACAGATTATTAGACAATTAAAATATCAAACTTAAAACTTCTTGTGAATATTCTAATATTCTTGTAGGCACCCTAAAACAAAGGGCTCCAATGTTCTTGCAGTCATATGTATGGTCAGTGATCCATTTCCCTAGATGTCTGAAGTAAAACAATATGATCCATTTTATTTTATAACAGACTTAACAGAGTATTTTAACATAGGTACTGCTCAATGGACAGTGATATTCTGTTACACGTTAATAAACTGATCAATACTTACGTCATAACTTTGGCTTCCTCTATGAAGTCATCTTCAGACATGGTGCCTTCCTTCATCATCTTGACTGCTACGTCTATGGAACCACGCCATTTGCCTCTTCGAACTACACCAAACTGACCTGAACCCAGTTCTTCCAGTAACATCAGTTCTTGAGGATCTATTTCCCATTTGTCTGAAATACACAACAATAAGTGCAAATTAAAAAGTTATATACCTGAAACAAAAATTCATTTTATGAGAAATATAATGCATATCTCAACAAATGCCATCAATTTCTCCTTATTTTTTATACGTACCATGGCTGAGACCTGCTGTTGCTGGTACGGGTCGATCACATGGGCTAGTCTTAAGTCTTGACGCTAAACCTCCACTATTGTGCTTATGATAATTGACTAAGTCTGGTATAGATCCACAACAATGTTTCTCAGACAGGAAAAATTCACCCCGGGAATTCTGTTTGATATGATAATGTTTTACATGTGGGTGAAAACTGAAAAAAAGAAGCAAACTTTATTTGCACAGAGAATAGATGGCAATTCTTCTCTATACCTTAAATAGATACTACAATTGTTGTAGTCTGCATTAGGACACTCTGAGATTGATTCTAGCACTGGTTACAGTATCTACCTGCATATTTGTACTTCACTTATACATAACTATCCAAAATTAATGGGACAAATAAAGGCCAATGATATTAAATAAATTACAGGAGTTAAAACAATTATATAACTTAATAAATGTAGAAAAACAATAAGTTTTGACCACAGGTGATCAATCAGTGTACTCTTATTTATGCAACAAGTTTCCAGATGATATTAGTTTCCATCCGAACCTCAGCAACTGCAAGTCAGATTCATTGCTATAACTGTGGCAAGGAGTGTGATATTGTGTTTTACATAATAGGCCTCTGGATCTTGGGTCTCCCACATCCTATCAAACTTTCTGGGAGTTGCTAATCCAGAAACACTTTCACATTGAAATGTAAATTTGGTGGTGCCAAATCCTGCTTGCTGTAAGCCCTGCCTTATCTGGTGATATAGCCACAGCTACAGAAAGTCCATCATGACGATGGCAGTCTTTGAAAGAACCATACCCTGAAGATGAAGCCTTAAAATTACTTTGAGATACCAAATTTTCTTTGATAAGATTTTAAAAGACTTATCAATCAATCAATCAATGACACTAAAAGACTTATCAATCAATCAATCAATCAATGACATAGCATAAACCTCAGAAGTGCTTTAGACGTAATTTTAGTTTACAACATTTTACAGTCTGTTGCATTAAATCATAAGTGGAAAATTCAAAATTAGAAGCAAGGAGTTTAATGACCTGACTCGAGTAACGAATAGAAATTTTTTACTTACACTTTTGTATAAAGAGAGAGTGTATAGAGACCTCTTGTAGAAGAATTACGAACTACAAAACAACCTTCCTTATCTTCTTGCTTCAAAATGGATTCAGCTCTTTGACGAGACATATCGCCAACATACCACCTAAAAAACAAAAGCTATTAGTTTCAACAAGCAAATCTTGGTGTATACCAATCTGTACAGCTGTAATGGAAATGTTAGTCCACAAAGATGTTAATATAACTACTATTAACAATGCCATATTGTTTATGAAAAGGGCAGATGAAAATATAGTTTAATTCTGTAATATTTTCTATCCCATCTAATGTTTTAAAGATAAAGTACTTGTGAAAATAACAAAGGGCAGATGAAAATATAGTTTAATTATGTAATATTTTCCATCCCATCTAATGTTTTAAAGATAAAATACTTGTGAAAATAGTGTTATTTCTTCCTCTGTTTCAGCATGAAAAATTTCTGTACAGAAGTATATTTAAAATCGTACCTGATATACCGAAACTGATACGGTCAACTTGAAATCCCGTTATAAAATTTACATACACATATAAACACACAAATTTAAACTTGCGAACATTTAAAAGCAACTGCCAAATGTGTGCAAAATTCAGAAGCATCTGGTTCAAGAATTTTCTTTCGTCAAAAAATATTTTTGAGACCTTGCAGTAGACGACGACAACAAAATCAAAAGAAGAAAAGGCAGAAAAAAAAGAGATATTGCCTGTTACTTACTCATATTTCTGCAACCCTAGCAGTTCTTTTTCTTTCACATAATTGCTTGGAATGTAGCCTATTGACCTGCAGAAATAAAACAAAAACAATTATCAGAATAATGATGGAAGCAGAAGAAGGTTCTATTTTAACAGCAGAAACATCGAGTCAGACTTGCTGCAAGATGATGACGAAAATGCAGGCAAATGAATAAGCGCGATACTCAAAAGAGCAGATAAGAAACGTAAAAAATTTAACACAGATTCCACTCCGGGAAGGAAACGCATTTTCACATTCAAAATCTGATAAGAGGAAAACCTAACATCCCAAAAGCAAAATGTATATCGTATTATTTTGCCTGATACTATCGCATAATGATGACAATGTGACACAAACTGCACATTTCTCATACACAGTTTATTAAATAAAGGACAGTCACTGGAGCACATCAGAAACTCACCCTTGTTCATCCTTTACTTTCCACCAATGCTCCTGTGAATCATCTAGCACCTCATATTCTGCACCCTGTAAGAAATTAATCAATCCCTTACAGTGTCCTGTAGTACCACAGCTATTCAAAGGCAACAGGTAGTTTTCTAAAATAAAAGGTAATGAGTCAGCCCTGTCCAATAAGCGACTGCATTACTCTCCATAATAAAAGAAAAGTAAATTCAAAATGCGTTCAGTTTGTAAAAATCTCTATGTAGGGAACATTCATCATGAAAACTAGTCCCATCTAACATAGCCCCCTGAATATTATAAATTAAATAAGCAGAAGTCAATAACATTTTTCTGAAACGTGAAATTATGTAAATGTTTAGTACTAATAAACTCAACAACTTGTAATTTGCTCTTTTTAGAACACTCACCTTCTCAAGAGAAAGGTCACCCCCTTCAATTGCTTTAAATGGGTACAAAGCCACAACCACTTTTGGCCTGATCATCAGTTTCTCCTGAAACATATTCAGTCAAAATGAGGATGTAACATTACCTCTTCTTAACATTAAATTACAGGTAGCCCTCGATTTACGCCGGGGATGCGTTCCTGGACGAAATCGGCGTGAATTGAAACTATTATATAATGTAAATCAATGGGAAGTCAATGACAGGCGTTCCCAGCATCCAAACATTGACGAGTAATACAATGGCATTACATTTAAAGCTCTGAAATAACGCAAATAAAATAAAGGGAATTTAAAAAATATATTTTACACACTTACAATCGGCAATTCGTTGGTCCCCGCAATTCTTAAGAGCAAACTCGCATATGCAAAAGTTTGCATTTCACAAACAGCTTTTACCGATTCATCGATCTCATTGGAGCAAATTCGCGTTAACGAAAAATACGTAATTGCAGAGAAGACTGTATTTAGAATTTTTATTCAAAATCAGCCATGTAAGAATTACGATATAGTATAAGAATCAGTACGAGATACATTGTAAAACGTTATAAATAATAGTAAATATATTTTTTTCACTTTTTGACTTGCTGGTTGCAAAATCGGCGTTATTCTGAATCGGCGCAAATCGAGGGATACATGTATATATAATGTTTCAAACACAAGGAAAGGATACATATTCCAAGAGACCAATTAGGCAAAGTAACCCTTATCACTACGCCTGGTCATAAACAACAGCTCAATAATTAGAACTATTTAATGGGATCTATGAACAGGTGTCCTATCCTGTTACCTGAAGACACAGAGCCAATCTTCAAAATACCATAAATCAAACAATACTAAATCATTAAGTATAAAACATGAATTATTCCACATGATTTTCACGCCATCAGAGCATACTGAACAAGAAGATAAATAAATTACATTTTTATTCTAGACCCATTAGCAGAAATGTGCAAAAGAATGAGCTAGGTCATTACTTACTTTAGCTTTGGAAGAAGGGGTTCCTGGGACTCCACCTGGCATGTTTGGTGCGGATGGAACACCTGTAATAGTCATATAATTAAAATCTGATACTGAGAAATGTTTCAGCATATAAGTGTCTGAGAGCTACCTTCAGTTTTAGTTCTCTAAAGTGGCAACTGATTTGTATGCCAGTTCAAATTCCGTCATATAACACTGAATAAGATGGGAAGATGGTGATGGATTGCAACTTGAAAGCTTTAGGGGAAGCGGTCGCGGCCTATTTAAGGTATCACGGCATTCGGATGGAAAAAGAGGAATAATTAGGTCAAGTTGACCAATATCCCGACCAAGATTCGAACCGGCTTGCTCCAGAATTCAAGTCTACAGCGTCACCGCAATAACCTACTCGGTAAAGGTTGTTGTGCCATAACGCAAATGGTCAGTCACCAGCTTCTCACTGCGGGGTCCCGGTTCAAGCCCAGTGATGGACAGGGTTTCCCCTGTCAATATCATTCCACTCGGAATATATATATTTACTCATGTATCAGAAGGAGGGTGGACAATTTGATCGCTACCGACGTCAGTTCCATAGAGAAGTTCGTCAATGCAACACATTCTAGGCCAGTTCACACTTTCATATCAGACTTGAAACAAATTTTTAATATTTCCCTTCCATCGAAGTCTAGACACCCCCCCCCTCCCCCCCCC